AACACAAAGAATGGATGTACGGCAGTATACCCTTGATTGGCGGGGGTGGGTCAGTGGGGGTGTTGGTGTCAGTGAGTGCAACACAAAGAGTGGATGTACGGCAGTATACCCTTAGTATACCCTTGATTGGCAGGGGTGGGTCAGTGGGGGTGTCGGTGTCAGTGAGTGCAACACAAAGAGTGGATGTACGGCAGTATACCCTTAGTATACCCTTGATTGGCAGGGGTGGGTCAGTGGGGGTGTCGGTGTCAGTGAGTGCAACACAAAGAGTGGATGTACGGCAGTATACCCTTAGTATACCCTTGATTGGCAGGGGTGGGTCAGTAGGGGTGTCGGTGTCAGTGAGTGCAACACAAAGAGTGGATGTACGGCAGTATACCCTTAGTATACCCTTGATTGGCAGGGGTGGGTCAGTGGGGGTGTCGGTGTCAGTGAGTGCAACACAAAGAATGGATGTACGGCAGCATATCCTTGATTGGCAGAGGTGGGTCAGTGGGGGTGTCGGTCTCAGCGAGTGCAACACAAAGAGCGGATGTACGGCAGTATGCCCTTGATTGGCGGGGGTGGGTTTGTGAGGGCAACAAATATAGTAGTTTTTAGATATTATACCCACGTGATATATCAAACCAATGCCAACATAAGGCTTCCACAACAGATGTGTCATTAGATTATATTGTGACAGGTATGAATCACCAGGTTTGTAGTCCTGTGATATGATCCTTCAGCTCAGATTGTTTTATGAGTTTATTGTTTAAACTTATATATCAATGACAATGTCATTATTTCCTTACAATATTACTTATTGTGTATGCTCTCGAGGTTTAACAATAGAATTACTACTTGTGTAATGTGTATATGTGTACATGTTTATCCTGAAACTATTACAGATTCATGTGTTTCAGGTTATCTGGTTGCAAGACAAAGGAATTAAAGAGCCATTATCATACCTCCATGTCAGAATGATGAGATCTGATTTGTCTACGTGATCTTGATCAAATACTGTGTATCCCACCTTGGAGAGGAATATTTCTCAGGCGGTGATTGATTGTTGATTGTTTCTGGTTGTTTAACGCAGTACTCAGCAATATTCTACCTGTATGACAGCGGCCTGTAAACAATTGAGTCTGAACCAGACAATCCAGTGATTGATATCATGAGCATCAATCCACGATACAATGACATGCATCAAACAAGTGAGCGAGTCTGACCACCCGATACCGTTAGTAGCCTCTTACGACAAGCACAGTTGCCTTTTAAGGCAAGCATGGTTTGCTGAAGACCTATTCTACCCGGATCTTCACGGGTGAATAATTGCTTATTCCCCACCACCAGCTATACAGGTTGTACATGGATTTCTGAGAGGCAGAATATATCCCTTATACCTGGCTTCCAAGCAAGAAGCTGCACCCCTTTTCCGAGTCAGTGAAAGTCACGTGACATAGCACAAGCTAACCTCAGCTCAAACAGCTGTTCTCTATCAATTTTGAATTTGTTTTAATTATTTCACAATGTCATAGTAAAACATGTCAGTAAGATAAATTCATTATAGCAGGATCACTTGGGGTACATGGGGTTTCATGCGTCCCTCAATTAGCACCTACACAGTTCCAGTCACATTATACTGATTCAGCAATACTCCGCAGCCAGTTGAGTCTGTGATGACCCCCCCCCCCCCCCCCCCCCCCCCCACCACCCCCCAAAAAACACACACACTAGAAATAGAAATAGTTTATAATCTTTTTATTTTCAACAATGACGACAATCAGTTGACTTGCACTTTTTTGGCATCATAGCAAAATATCTGACGATGGTGGTTTTGAAAAAAAGCTACAATGATTTGTAAAATGGAAAATGTGCAAAATGGAAGACTGTAGAAAATTATTTCAAACCATTGAACCTTGACAGTGGACAGTGTAGAACATACTGGTAAACAAACAACACCTAACAATCTGTTATGAATGAATCTGTGCCATCTCTCTGATAGATAACAAATAATTATCAGAACCATTTCCCTTAGAATAGTCATACCATTAAAATACTTCTAGAATAAAATAGAAATGATATATTTCAGACATGAATGTACAATGACACAAGAACAATCATTTCAAACAAAATATTAAAATATATTTCTAATAACATGAACATCTAATTCAATTTTTTTTTCGGAAAGCCATCCTAATGTTGAAAATATTCAATTACATAATTGACTAGACATGTAAATCACATCCCATGCAATTGTTGAGCGAGAGTGAGAGGAAGAACCTGTTGACTGTAACATTTTTACGAAGCAAAATAATCTAACATGATCATGACATACTAAAGAGTAAGAGCACTGACACTTTATTGGGTCCTGACGTTTCTGTTTGCTTCCCCTGTTGGCATCACACACAATCTCATTAAAATCAAATCTTAGTTCTCGCTTCCGCTAAACAAAGATCTGAGGACATCCCATTATGGGTCATGTCAGACCGACCTTGCGCGAACTTTGACCAGCCAATGGATTGACCAATCAGAGGGGAGCTTTCTCGTGCTTTTCGGCACTAATTTCAAATTGTCGACTACGCTTCGAAATATATTTTGACAAATTCTCGGTTACAAATTTGATACCTGAACAAAAGAACTTTCTGGAATGGCTAATGGATGTTCTAGGCTGTATGGATTCTGTCGTTTAACCCGTAACTATCGTTCAGAATACCCCCTGTTCAAGTTTTCGAGGTTGCATGATTAGAAATCACATTTCGACTGTCACTTTCATAATCTGATAAGCGAAGCTCTGATTAGTCGGATGAAAGGTCGTTTTGACGTGACCCCTAATGGGATGTCTTCAGATCTTTGTTTAACGGGAGTGAGAACTAAGGTCTGATTTTAATGAGATTGGCATCACACAAAGACAAAAGCAACTGTGACCACACAAATTTACTGACAGATGAACGTTAATAGTTTTACTCTGCTTTGTATATATTCAGTAATATCATTTGTGTTCGCGTGATGTCGCAGGAAAGATTGAAGTAGTGTGCTGAAAACCTAGAAACAAGCCAAATCTGGGATTCAAACCCACAATTATAGGTTCCTAGCACCCAAAGGGAAGCAACTCTGGACAGCATAATTTGCCACCCAAGATGACTGAGACAAGATGCCTCCTCATTCTTTTGATAAATCTCTGGATTTGATTCTGAGGAATTCTGTCCCATTTCTCATGCAAAGCAGCAGTCAGTTCATTAAGCGTATGGACAGGTGGTTCTCTTTGTCGAAAAGACGGCTTAAAATGGGACAGAATTTATCAGAATCAAATCCAGAGATTGATCCAAAGAATGAGGAGGCGTCTTGAAGCAGTTGTTCGGGTTCAGGGAGGTTACACAAGACATTGATGGAAAGTCAATATTTGGACTTTCATGACATTGTGAACCAGAAGTGTGCATGATACTGACGGTTAAGTCTGTGCAACAAAAGTGACATTCGTAATTTCTTTGGATGAAATAAAGTCATTTTCCAAATCTGTAACATCTTCTAAAAAACACACATTATTTCATGGTAATCTTGGCTATGTTCCTCCTCAACCCTTTCTTTTCACTAAATAATTTATTTGGTACGGAAATCTTTTACACATTTCATGCACTAGTTCATTAAAGTTGCTCAGTCAGAGAATATACGGGTGTTGCCTAACTAATTTCCATGTGTATATATCTGTCATGGGGAATAGAAGCAATGAAACACTTCCCCATTTATTGTGTAAAACACAAAGGAAAAGCTAATAGATTAAACATCCTACAGGGTCTATGTTCAACTCAATTAAACACCAGCACACTACACATGTGAAGGTAGAACTGAAGAGTCATGTATTTCTAAAAGGTCGCAATGTTCTCAACACCAGTAAGAACATGATCACAGATACTTTTGCCTTCTGAATATAATTTCAGTTATGAAAGAAACAGAATTACAGAAAACATTTTTTTCTTCTTTTCTTAATTTTTAAACCAACCAACAGGCCACAAACACTTAGTTTATTGCTATTTAAGTACTTTCTGGTTAGACAATTCACACACTATGGAGACTATACCTACAAAACAAACATAATCAGCAGACCAAGGAAAGCAAAATTAACAAACAATAACATAACAATGATAATATGTATATCACACTGCTGTGAAAAACAATATGGATAGTGTCAGCATGTTTAAAATACACGATCCAAACTCATGGGATGCTTGCAAGGTAACATGACACATGAAAACGTTGGTTGGTTGGTTTGTTGTTTAACGCCGCACTCAGCAATGTTCCAGCTATATGACGGCGGTCTGTGAATAATCGAGTCTGGACCAGGCAATCCAGTGATTGATATGATGAGCCTCGATCCACGCATTTGGGATCGATGACATGCATCAACCAAGTCAGCCAGTCTGACCACCCAATCCCGTTAGTCGCCTCTTACGACAAGCACAGTCGCCTTTTTACAACAAGCATGGGTTGGTGAAGACCTATTCTACCCCAGATCTTCACAAAACATTTTGATTTCGCTGTACATGTTTATGAACATTATTCTGTCGTGTATTACTTACTGCAAATGCTGTTGAATAGTGATTTGTAAGTGATATGAATTATTCAAATGATTTAACATAGTTCTTATAAAAACTTGACGGAATGTCTGAAACAAGGAGTTGAGCCAGGGAGGAACAATGGCAGTGCTAGTACAGTGGCATTATCTTTACAATGGCGATGCAACTTAATGGGGATCACAAAACAATATGCAGTGACCTTGACCCTTGACATGCATGACCTTAAAAACAGGTATACAAAGGTGGTTACATTCCACCAAATATGTCTGTAATTATCACAATGTTTGTGGGCGAAGGTTCAGAAATCATCACATCCAGAGCTTTCACCAACATGTTTGTTTTATGTTGTTTAAACGCCGCACTCAGCATTATTCCAGCTATATGACGGCAGTCTGTAGATATTTGAGAAAGGACCAGACAATCCAGAGATTGACATCATGAGCATCGTTCCATGCAATTGGAATACGATGACTGCATCAACAGTCAGCGAGCCTGACCACTCGATACCGTTAGTAGCCTCTTACGACAAGCATGGGTTGCTGAAGACCTATTCTACCCTGGATCTTCACAGGCTTTAAATGTTAAAAATCAGGGTTTTTATACAACGGACAGAAGCGATCGCTCTGACAATGAAATGCTGCTGTCAGATTTCAGATTCTTAATATTTACAAGGACAAAAACCAGGCCAAGATTATTTACTTTAAGTTTATCACCTACTGATCTAGAGAACACTTTTGCTGATTACTACTGTAATACTACGCATTGTATTTTTAAATACATACCAACCAAATTTTTCACTATTAAAATCAACGAATAAAAGTCTGTCCCGAGGCAAAAATACGACCCTGGTGTAAAATGAATTCATTGTGCACACAGACAAAAAAATTGTTTGATACCACAGAATTATTGCAGCTAAATGACAGTGTCCTGTATGTAATCCTGACCAGACAATCCAGTGACTGACAGTTTGACCATCGATCCACACCGTCAAGGTGCAGTGACTGCAGCTTCTTAATGAACATGATATGTTTTTGCGACCTGACAACATCCGAATTTATGTGTTTATTTATCTATCTGCTGCCAGTCACCACAAATCATAAACACGGACATTGAAAGGAATGGGGCTCAACCAGCTTCAATCACAGTCATTACCGTAATTACGTGGGCAGACGATTGTGTGTTGGGTTTCACCAAAGTGGTACACAACCTCCTCCAATGTTACCACAAAACAGCTCCTCACTCACTCAAAGAAAGATCAAACATGAATACACTGACAAGACATAGTTGGTATATCTTCCTAGCAATAAGCTGTTAAAACATTTAACATATGACGGCCAAAACAGCGTAAATGTATTTCATATTTCAAGACAGGAAACAATAACGGGGTGAGTGCGTCAGGTTTAACATCACTTTCAGCAAATATTGCAACGATGCCAGGACCGGGGACATGGGCTTCACATAGTGTACACGTGTGGGCAAACAAACCTGAGTGCAGTTGTACAGAGTGATCTTAAGTGCTGAAGTGATCGGAACTCCCATAGTTTAACATAGACTTATGACAGTCGTAGTGCTAAGGTTGTTTTGTACAATGTCATCCTGGTGTTTTGGCGCAACCTCAAAATGAGGCAAACATGGTATTTTACAGAAACAGACAAATGTTCTATAAATCAATGAGGCAGACTGAAAGTGGTTTCTGCAAGTGTTGTATTATCAATTATGATAAATACTGAAGTTCATTACAAAAATACATACTAAATGATAGCACTACATGAAGCTATTACATCAGGTTTAACTTTGTGGTGATATTATGCAGTTAATGACAATGTGTTTATGTTCATGATTATGAATAATACTTCAGTGATTATGAATATATTGCCCGACTCTACCGGGTACCCGCTGTTCGTCTCAGGAGATAGGTACAAAATGTCTGATTTGGCATTATATTTTTACTATAGCTCCGGCAAAATGTATTTAGATACATGTATTAAACAATCTGGTCATCCATACACTGAAGTTGGCTTAAGGTATATCTTTACTCAACTACATGAAAAGTGGGTGCATAGTCAGAAAGAAATGCCAACAATGGTGACTTGTAGTGTAATCATAAAGTTCTAGATAACTTTTTGTCATTAAACAATACATCACGTCACTAACCACGGGTCCGGGTACCCGGGTCCTACTCAGTACCCACACAACCCGAGTACCTGCGTTACGAGCCGCAGTCCTAGTCGTGTCACTATAAAATCTTGGAATATCAAAGCATGTATACCTATTTCTTAAAGCTCCTGTGATTGAGAAACTCACTTGAGTTAAATGGTATCAAACAAATATGTGACACCGAATTCCAGGCCTGTGATTGGCTACTCCATGGTGATGACCTAAGGATAGATTATGACAGACTTCTTTCCTGACGATACAAATGTCATATTTGGGATAACACTTTCTCAGTAAAGTACCGAATCTAGTTCCTTTTTTTCGATCCCACACTGCCAGAGTGAAGTACCTTATCACCAGCACACAAAGTCAACGATCTAACCCACTCAGCCACCGAGGCTTCAACATAAATGAAAGTTTGACAACTTGTAGTCTAGATCACATACTATGTGTACCCCTCTGACAAGTGACACAGCTCCCATGGCCGAAAGCTATGAATACACAATTCAATAGTTTATTGCCACCAACTTGGTCCCTACAAGTGCCGGATGCAGGTGAAATTGCAACTTGTATCCCGTGTGAACAAACTCGAGTAACAAATGGTCGGACGTGATGAGCTGCCAATTTTTGGTATTGGCTTGTAGATATTCCCCGCATGTCCCAGGTTGGTTTCAAGTTGAAATATGGCAGAAGATAATCGTGGTCCAGAGACAAAGCCAAGTTGATGTGACTTGTTGATAGAAGCGTTGCCCCTGTAAGTCAGAACCAGCACCCTCTCCCACTTCTTCATCTTCCTGAGGCAAGAGCGCCCACTAGCCTTTTTATCAAAGGTTTGTTTCCAAATTGCATTACGAAATCAACTACCGTCCAGATTTTCCAAATCTTTTCATGTTTTTTATCAGGATTTTATTACAATATAGATCTTGATTATTGATCAGATCATCTTGACTGGTGGCCGCAATTTTGTTTGAAGCAAGTGAAAGTGATATGAGAGGTGGACCCAGACATCTTCTGTATAAACTGATGGTGTCTTCGGGACAATCACAGACAAGTCAGTTGATCCTGGTGATCAGAGGTGTCCGAAGTGTATGAACCATTGGAAGATCCAAGCCCCTCATCTCCTTCTCCCAGAATATTCCTCTCATCCTTGCATGCCTTCCCTTCAGGAATGGAAATCTTCTTTTCAGTAATGTCTGATGGTATTTGGGGATTTCTTGATTCTTGTAGAGAGGTGTATGGATTTTCTGGTTGTGTTTTTAGTGTGTTGACATCTTCATATGAATGATTCTCTCCTTGTTGAGACGTATATGGGACTTCTGGCTGAGTTTTCAGGGCAGTGACATCTTCACATGACTTGTTTCCTCTTGGGAGTGACTGGTATTGGTTCTCCAAAGTTGGAACTTTCAAACCCTCATAAAAGTTGTCCAAACTGAATGCTGCCATTCCATGACCACCTTCATGTATCACATTGTCTGCTAATGGCCGACGCCAGTTAGACACACCTTGCAGACAATCTCCCTGTCTTGCATTCTCAACAAACATGTCTTCCTGACAAAGTTCATCAGCTTCAGACTTGTCCGCTTCCTCATCTGGGACAAAACCTGGATTAACACCCTTTCCTTTCTCAACTTCTCCTTCCCTGTTAGCTGCTATGACATACTCATCGTAACCCTGGTTGTTGAAACTCTCCTCATCCAGAGACCCATAAGAATCGTCCCACGGATTGTCTATAATTGGATCGGTAAGACACACCACGGGAAGGCAGTCCATGATGAGAGGCGGAGGTTCACCGGCACTACCGCTGGTGTCAGCCACCTTGGAGTAGTCCTGGGGGAGGCTGATGGCACTCTGGGGCTCTGACCCAGAGCCTCGCTTAGCTTCCTCCTCCTCATCCACAGGTTCAAACTTGGGCTGGAACTGACTGGATGGAGAGAGAGGGGAGGGACTCTGATCATCTCCAGTCAGACTGCCACGCCCACTGTCCACACTCAGCTGTCGATAGGTGTGTAGGTTGGTCTGTAGGAAAAACTTAAACAGATTAATTAATCTCTGTCTTCAGATCCGTCAGATATGGCATAGCCTATTTTAAAATGATCATTATTTTCATAACATTGGGGAGGTAGGTACATTATGAAGCATTAGCAGGGAAGAGTCAAGTAGCCCTACCATGGATACTGTTGGATATTTTAGAATACAGCAGTAGGGACCAAACTTTTTTATTACATTTTCCAATTCCAATTCAGAAACATATCAGAGAGTGGAGTAGTATATAGCTATGTATCAGAGTGGAGCAGTATATAGTTATGTATCAGAGTGGAGCAGTATATATCTATGTATCAGAGTGGAGCAGTATATAGCTATGTATCAGAATGGAGCAGTATATAGCTATGTATCAGAGTGGAGCAGTATATAGCTATGTATCAGAGTAGAGCAGCATATAGCTGTGTATCAGAGCGGAGCAGTATATAGCTATGTATCAGAATGAAGCAGTATATAGCTATGCATCAGAGTGGAGCAGTATATAGCTATGTATCAGAATGGAGCAGTATATAGCTATGTATCAGAGTGGAGCAGCATATAGCTGTGTATCAGAGCGGAGCAGTATATAGCTGTGTATCAGAGTAGAGCATTATATAGCTATGTATCAGAGTGGAGCAATATATAGCTAAGTATATCAAAGTATGTATCAGCGTGGAGCAGTATATAGCTGTGTATCAGAGTGGAGCAGTATATAGCTATGTATCAGAGTGGAGCAGTATATAGCTATGTATCAGAATGGAGCAGTATATAGCTATGTATCAGAATGGAGCAGTATATAGCTATGTATCAGTGTGGAGCAGTATATAGCTGTGTATCAGAGTGGAGCAGTATATAGCTATGTATCAGAGTGGAGCAGTACATAGCTATGTATCAGCGTGGAGCAGTACATAGCTATGTATCAGGGTATGTATCAGAGATGAGCAGAACATAGCTATGTATCAGCTTGGAGCAGTATATAGCTATGTATCAGGGTATATATCAGAGTGGAGCAGTACATAGCTATGTATCAGCGTGGAGCAGTACATAGCTATGTATCAGGGTATGTATCAGAGCGGAGCAGTACATAGCTATGTATCAGCGTGGAGCATTACATTGCTATGTATCAGGGTATGTATCAGAGTGGAGCAGTATATAGCTATGTATCAGATTATGTATCAGCGTGGAGCAGTATATAGCTGTATATCAGAGTGGAGCAGTACATAGCTATGTATCAGCGTGGAGCAGTATATAGCTATGTATCAGCGTCTAGCAGTATATAGCTATGTATCAGAGTGGAACAGTATATAGCTATGTATTAGAGCGGAGCAGTATATAGCTGTGTATCAGAGTGGAGCAGTATATAGCTATGTATCAGAGTATGTATCAGCGTGGAGCAGTATATAGCTGTGTATCAGAGTGGAGCAGTATATAGCTATGTATCAGAGCGGAGCAGTACATAGCTATGTATCAGCGTCTAGCAGTATATAGCTATGTATCAGAGTGGAGCAGTATATAGCTATGTATCAGAGTATGTATCAGAGTGGAAGTATATAGCTATGTATCAGAGTGGAACAGTATAGAGCTATGTATCAGCGTGGAGCAGTATATAGCTATGTATCAGAGTGGAGCAGTATATAGCTATGTATCAGAGTGGAGCAGTATATAGCTGCATATCAGATATATGTGTATCAATTGATTTGTTTAATGCTACACTCGCCAATATATGATGGCAGCCTGTTTAATCAAATCTGGACCAGACAATCCAATGATCAAGGCCGTCAGGGTAAGATGACATGCATCAACCAAGTCACAGAGCCTGACCACTCGATCCCTTAAGTTGTCTCTTAAGACAAGCACATGTTGGTGGGACAAATGCTAAACTGGAGTTAAGATGTGCAAAAAGTGCCTTTAGATAATCCACACCCACCTGCTTCTGTCTCTCTGCACACTTCTCCTCCGGCAGTGGCTTGAATGCGACTGTTCTGATTTGTTCAGTTAAGTCTGCGGAGATGAAGTCCTGGAATAGAGAAGATTCCCCAGTTTGAGTGTCATCTAAAGCGACTGAGTGAATGTTGTTTAAGACACTGTCAGCAACATTTCAGCCATGTCATGCCAGTGTGTAAATAACCTGTGCCAGACAAACCACGTGGCTGAAGCATTAGCAATGTCTCGTAACAATGACAAGGTCACTGGGGCTGACCACCCTGTCCAATCACTGTAACTCTGTTTGTTTGTTGTTTAACGCTGTACTCATCAATATTCCAGCTATGTGATGGCGGTCTGTAAATAACAGGCTGGGCCATGGGCATGACTGACCACCCGGTCCAATCACCGTAATTCTGTTTGCTTGTTTGTTGGATTGTTTCTTGTTTAATGACGTACTCAGCAATATTCCTGCTATATGAGCCAGACAATCCTGTAATTGACATTATGAGCATGGATCAACACCAGTGGGAAATGATGTCAAGCATCAACCAAGTCAGCCTGACACCTGATCCCATTAGTCAACTATTCTCTACCCATAATTTCAATGCAGTTGCTTCTTATGACAAGTGCCCATGAGGAATCTGGGTAAGTATCTGATGGATCGGGGGGGGGGGGTCAAGTTCCAACAAATCTTACAACAAACACAGGTTGCTCGATTCCTCACCATGTTCAATGGGTTTGGACGTGTGAAACAAAAAACATAATGATATGTGAAACAAAAAACATAATGATATTATGGTGGATGTTTTAAGCAGCACCACATCAAAGAGTCATCATCAATCTTCATCCATGTTTTCCTTTACCGTCCTTAGAACAAGGACTATTGTAGTCAGCTCCTGAGGAGCAGTGGAAACCACCGGGGCCAAACACAGTGCAAGACCAGTTTTGAAAGTTATGCTCTTTTGATTGTATGTTTGTTTGTTTGTCCAGTGATTGATATCATGAGCATCGATCCAATTGAAAAACAATGACATGTATCAACTAAATCAGCAAGCCTGACCACCCGATCCCCAAGCCTGACCATCCGATTTCTACTAGTTGACTCATACGACAAGCACAGTCGCCTTTTGTGGCAAGCATGGGTTGCTGAAGACCTATTCTACCCCAGATCTTCACAGGTCAGTTACGCTGGTCATAATGCTATGACCAACTTGTGGAATCGAGCAGTGGAAACGCTTGACTTGTCTGATTGTAAAGTTATAACATCATTATGGAAGATTGAAGACGTCAATCATTGTCATGTGAAAACAGTGAAAACAATTGACTCTGGTCTAGAATGAACTCAATTACATGTGCCGATCTCCAAGTAAACTCCATGTTTCTGACTTGGTTAAAAAGCCAGGATGGTTATGGTGTGGATGTGGGTAAGCTAGAAGCTCCTTAAGGTTAAGATTGCAAAAAATACTCACCGGAACTGAAGGAAGAATAATCTTCTCCTTTTCTCTGCACTTTTTGCTGGCATAACTAAAAATAATATACTTATTTAGTAATATTAAATAACAAGAAAACAGTGTTATCACTATCCCCCATCCACCCCATAAGGCACATTAGAATTTTGTTTGTTCATATAGCAGTGAATCTGCACTATAAAACAAGAGTCCTATTAAGCCTTAAAGAAAAGAATGGCACAAGCGTCGCTTTATGTCATCAGGAGAAATGATTAAATGTGAAATTAATACAAACAAAAGGCCTCTTCTCTGGAAAAAATAATTTATGGCACTCATTCTCGAACTCAGTCTTGATAAGTATCTCCTAGATTAGCTAACTTCAGTAGTTTCTGAAATAAAATGTCCCTATTGCAGACCCGATGCACTTGGTAAAAATCACATGGATCAAGGGACGTAACTGTGTATACACACAAAAAAGTGAAAAAACATGTAGCAAGGGAAGTAACTCTGGAAACAAAATAATTTACGGGACCGCTTTGGAACTCTGTTTTGATGAGTATGTCTTAGATAAGCATGCAAAGTTTCATTCATGTGATGTCAGTAGTTTCTGAGAAAATTTGTCCCTATTGCAGACACTATGTACTAAGTTGAAAAGCATGGAGCAAGATACATAACTCTGTTAAAAAATAATCTACAGCACCAATTTTTGAACTCAGTCTCTTAGATAAGCTTTCATTGACTTTCATTCACATAATTTCAGTAGTTTCTGAGAAAACTTGTCCCTATTTCACAATTCACAAAGTTGAATAGCACACAGCAAGGGCCATAACTCCGCAAAAAATGAATTGAAAAACAATTATCAGAGTGTAAAATTTCCATTCTCTAACTTAAACAGTTATTGAGAAGAATTATCCCCTTTCAGAAGTGGATAGATGGATGGAAAGACAGAAGGATGGGCGGAAGGAAGGACGGACAAACTCCATTCTTATATCCCCCTCCCCACTTCATGGCAGGGGATAATAATAATAACAATGTACATATTAATAATGCACCAAATCCACAACCTTGAGCGTGCTCAAAACACTAAATGGATCAGAGTGCACTTGATTTTTATTGCCAGCTCCCTGGACCCTGGTATATCTGTGACTGAAGACCTACCGGTAACATTTGACCATGCTGAACGAGAAGACGACAACGAAGAAGGCACAAGCAAAAGCAATGCCAGTAATCTCTCCTGCTGACAAATCTGAAACAAGGGGAATCAATACTAGAAAAGTGTTTATACTTCATGCAATAACAGAAGCCAACCCATCCCTACTTCTTCCGAATGCCACCAAACTGTGCCCCTAGAGTGAGTGAGTGAGTTGGGTTTAACGCCGCTTTTAACAGTATTCCAGTTATATCGCGGCGTGTCAGCTTAATGTGGGAGGAAAGCCCAAAGTGATGCAGGTCTCAGACGTTTACCACTTCGGTGAAACCCACGAGCACGGGAATGGTGTTGACAAACCTAGAAACATAATCGGAGCGAAACGGGATTCGAACCCACAATCATAGGTTTCTGGCGTGCCCAAGGGACGCAACTCTGCACAGCGAATCGTAGCGCCTTAGACAACTGGGCCACCCTTGCCCCCCTGTGCCCCTAGAGACCATAGTAACAATGTTATAGTACTTACAGTCTTATTTATCATCCCTTCTGATTTGAGAAATCATATGTCCAATGCAGTACAACTTGGAAACAGAAAGTCTTGAGCTAATAGCTACTGAGTCAGCAAGGGGGAATATGTATAGCAAATTTTATCAAGAAATATTCAATGGTTTTGCAGTTCTGCTCCAGAAACGAGTACTTTCCCTCCTTTTCAGTCTAAGTCAAACTTGTCATGAAAACAAAACAAAATTATTTTTTTGGTAAATCCCAAATTATAAAAAAGACTGATCAGTATAGCAATCTCATTAAAATCAGATCTTAGTTCTCGCTCCCGCCTAAACATCCCATTACAGGTCACGTCACACCGACCTTTTGCGAACTTTGACCAACCAGTGGAATGACTGACAAGAAGTCAACTTAAGCCAATCAGAAGGCAGCTTTCTCGTGCTTAACGGCACTAATTCCAAATTAGCGACTAGTAGAATTTTCCTATTCGGAATATTCTATAAGTAATACGTTACCACTGTTATACCGAGGCTGTTGTCTCCCACAACTGCTGCTATAGCGAAATCTACCACAGAGATCTCAATTACCTCATGCAGCACGTGCGTAGCCACCTAGCTGCCATGTGACACCCTTCACTCTTGTCTCTTGCGAGAGCAAGTGCTCGGGGGACAGACGGGCGGGCAGCAGCCCAGTGGTAACGTATTACTTATAGAATATTCCGAATAGGAAAATTCTACAAATTACATTAAGTAATACGTTACCACTGTTATACCGAGGCTGACTCCCACAGTAGGCGGTGGGGAGCACCTACAACCCGAATCCTGACTGCTAGCGTTTCTTCCGACCAGCGGAAGTAAACACCAAGGCGGAAGCACTCGATGCGCATGCACCTAGCTAGGTGTTACCCTATAGGAATACCAAAGCACTGTCAAGCGCATACCTTAAGGCTCAATCGTCATTGCCAAAACGATTGGTGACATCAAACGGCCCCACTGGATAGGTATTTCATCGCCGCAGCGGATGAGAAAACTGTATCCGCGTGAGCTTAATCTTAGATCAGGTTAAACAGTCGAAAAGAGGGAAATTAATTTCATTCAGACGGTATATCCCAGAGCAAGCCTACTTAAGTATGCATTAGGCGCGTGACCTAATTCCAGTATTTGTAAGCATGCATCACAAGGTTGGGATACACGACAGACAATTAAATACATAATTGTCAAAATACAAATAAGGACAAAGCACACAAAAAGCCGCCCTCACCTGTGGTGTGAGTGCGCTGGTTTGCGGGACCCCAACTCCTGTACCCACGGCAGTGGGAACATTGGAGTCGACCCAGATTGACCGTCGTGCAAGGTCTGACGCCTGAGGAGTTCGGAATTGCGCTGGGCACACCCCTTAGGTGCCCGCTTGCGCCGCTATCCGCGGGCCAAGACGGTGCACACTCTCCACGACGGCATCAGCGACCTGTTTGAGGTAATGATTGGCAAAAACCGAGTCAGAACGCCAGTAACAACCTCGTAATATTCTGCGAACAGAGATATTTGAGTGTAGGGCAAATGTTGCCGCTAGCGCCCTGATCTCGTGCGGGTTTGACCCCGCTACCAGTAACCCCCGAGACCGGTACGCCAGATTGATGACAGAACGAAGCCACAACGCAATCGAGTTGCGAGTTATGTCAACCGTGCGATTAGGGTTACACGATATGAACAGACGGTCACGCCCTTGTCTACGTTCATTCGCAGCCTTAAGATAATACTTAAGGGCCCTAACCGGACACAGCGCTCTGTCCTCAGTATCAGCAGGATGTAAGATTTCTTTGAGGGATCTTACAGTGAATTCTCTCTCCGTTTGCCCGACTCTCTGATTCTTGGCGACGAAGCCCATGAGCAGGCCCAGGCGGACTGCTCCTTTGTCACCCCTATCGAATCGTACCTTGGCGACATCGAGTGCATGAATTTCGGATACACGTGCCGCCGTGGCAAAGGAGAGGAGAAATGCTGTTTTCCAAGTCACATGCCGGAACGAAGCACTATGCAAGGGTTCATACGGAGCTTCCGTAAGTGATTGCAACACTAGGGAAAGATCCCAGGCCGGTGCCGAAGGCGGCCCTTTTTAAGATCGTGCTGTTTGAAACCCTTGATAATACCCCGTATCACCGGCTCTTTGGAGAGACTGGTACACATAGCAACGTCCCGTACCATAGCAACGGACGAGACATAGTTGGCAATGGAACCCCCGGAGAGTTTCCGGGTCTCTCGCAAGTGAGACATGAAACGAGCAATATCCTGCACAGATACCTTATCTGGCGAATGAATGTGATGTTTACAACACCACTTCGTGAAAATAACCCAACGTGCATTATACACCTTCTGGGTAGAATCACGATGCATACTAACGTATGCCCGAGACGCCCGAGAAAAACCTTTACTCCTCAGACGCTCCGTGACAACATCCACGCGTGCAGATTGAACTGCCCTGCATTGGATGAAGCTGACGGGTGTGAGGGTGGATCAAGAGATCCGGTCTCACAGGCAGTGGAAGTGGCGACTGCGTGACCTGGGTCAGCAAGTCGGGGTACCACGATCTGTTCGGCCACATGGGAGTGATCAGTAACATTCGACAGCGAACTCCTCGGAGCCGGCTTAGAATGTGTGGTATCAACGCTGTCGGCGGGTAAGCATAAGCGTCCAAGCCCGTCCAGTCTAACGCGAGAGCATCGTGATCGATGGCCCTCGGGTCCGGGACTGGTGATACAAACAACGGGAGTTGATTGTTGAACCGCGTTGCGAACAGGTCGACCATCGGACGACCCAAACGTTCGCACAGCCACTGAAACACTACTGGGTTCAGCATCCACTCTGTGGGGCTCGGATCCTGAGGCCTCAATAGAGCATCGACCAGTACTTCCGCACACCTGGGATGTGACGGGCGCGTATCTGGCACGGGACACTGTCCACCAGAGCGTAAAACTCGAACGTGAGATCGAGTAGCGAGTGACTGTGGGTTCCCCCCAGTTTGTTCACATAGGACACTACCGTCGTGTTGTTGGTCCCCAGCATGAGTCGGGCGTCAACGAGACAATGCTTCCAGTGATTGACTGCGTTGATCACTGCCTTGAACTCGAGACAATTGATGTGAAGACCTAGTTCGTCTACGCATCACAGCCCCGAGCTCACCTCCCCCTCTAGATGGCGCCCCAGCCCACTAGAGAGGCGTCTGTATACAGGTTCAACGTGGCCCGGTAGGGCCGCATAGAGACTCCTGATAAGACATTGTAAGGGACCGTCCACCACTCCAGATGCGGTCGGAGCCGATCCGGGAGGGCGACGGTCGCACTGTTCACCTCCGTTGCTAACAACTGGATTAAAAACCGTTGCAGCGGGCGGAGTTGGAGACGACCCCGTTCGGTGCAGTCCTGGGCTGATACAAGTAGCCCTAACAGCTGTTCCCAAAAGTGAACAGTCTGTTGCACCGCTAAGACTTTGGCAATCATCGCCTGAATCTTGTGCCACCGGTCTGGGGGGACAAAGAGGCGATGGGACACCGTGTTGAACCGACCTCCGATGAACAGCAAGTTCTGAGAAGGGGTTAACTCGCTCTTGGGGAGATTGATAATCCACCCCAATTGCTCCAAGAGCCGACGTGCGAAAACGAGATGGCGTGACAGGGTGTCCGTCATTCGATTTGCTACTAGCGAGTCGTCCAGTTACGCGAAGTACCGGACACCCCTCCTGTGGAGGAACCCCACTATGGGGGTGGTTAACCGGGTGAACAGCCAGGGAGCGGACGTGTGAATCATTCTGAGTTCGGCACTGTCCTACTTGGGAACGAGAAATATCCTGGAGTAAATCCCCGGTGTTATTTCTGGTAGAGCTAACTCCCGTACTGCCCCTTCTCCACCAACCTGCCGATGGCATCGGCGAGGATGGGAAGATCTGTTTCCGAATCGAAACCTGCCAACGGGGGAACGGTGAGCGGCGGATTCGCTTTGAGATCAAGCCGATAGCCGTACCGAATCGTGTTGACCACCCACGGGTCGTCGAACACTTGTTCCCAATTCTCCCAGTAAGTCTGGAGTCTGGCACCCACTGGGGAAGGAGAGGGGGCCCTGACAGGCTGCGGCAGGCGCAACTGTCCAGGGCCAAGTGACTCGGGTTCGCCTAAGGGCCAACCGAAGTTGGCGCTGTCGGCATACGAACCCCTCCAAGGAGAGTCACCTGGAGGGGCCCTTGCTGTCCGTCGACGACTTGGGCTTCCCCCAGTTCCCCGTCTTCCCGCGAAAGGGCAGCTGATTGCCCATACCGGAGCCCTCAAGAGGAAGAAGAACCCGACCCCTTAGACCTACCGGCCGCAGCAGCCTGGGGCGCGCTCCGGTTAGGAGCGGCACTCAGGCGCCTATGCAGGGACCCAACAAGAGCAAGTGTGTGCCGAGAGTCCTCGGCAACGTACTCCAGGGAAACATTTAAACTGAGCAGGCAGTTGTAAATGCGCTGGTCACGGTCCGTGGGAGAACCTTCGACCAGACGGGCCGCTGCAGCCAAGTTAGTGTCTCCGTGAGACATGGAGTGCCGAGCAAGGGCGTCCAGCTGGTGCAAGGTAGCTTGCGTTACCGTAGCAGCCGGTGGGGCACGGACACCCAACCGCTCAACATGGGCCTCCGCGGTAGGACCAGCCTCGGGAAAGGCAAGGTCATGTACAGGGAATAAACCCTTTCTCCACGACGTCGGAGGCAACGGGAGACCCCGACCGGAGGCCGCCGCGAAGGCGTTCTCCAAGGAAGGCTTGATACCGCGCAGCAAGGTTGATGCGGGGAAAGCCGTGTCGGAAGACTCATCGTATACCTCGGAGGAACCCACAGTCGTGGATTCCCCGCGGTACCGGCCGGGGCATGTCCTCAAAGAGGTCATAAACCATGGCCACGCGGTCCTTAACCGATAGCGGGAGCAACGGTTCGGGGGAAGGACCGGTGAGCACGGGAGCCGCCGCCGTACCGGTGGACCCTGCGTCTGACCCCGCGGCCACCGAAGTGGCCGGGGACGGAACAGCCAGCGGCCTATCCTGAGATAAGGCCCCCAGCTTGGAGTCCACAAGTTATGCAAGTAATGCAGCGACGGAAACCCCGGACAGCCCACGGGCCGCCAAGGGATCTGCCGCAGCCGTGGTGGTGGTACCCGCAAGGGGACCCCGACCGGACGAGCCGGCCACCACAGGGGTGGAAACGGACTGCACATACAGCCGGTAGCGCTCGCTTGCGGCACACCCCGCAGCTCCTGGTTGCGGGGGTAGAGGGGAAGGAGGACGGCGAAACATCCATGTCAGACATTTTGTTTGTACTATGAACAAAGAGCAAAACATGGTTACAACACACGCACCACAAATAGTCACAAACGAGTATTTTCACAAGAAAATAAACGAGCAATGGGAATATAGAACACACACATATAACATATAGAGGAATAAGTGATGTAAAAACCCCAAGATATACTAGAACAGGGGAACGTAAGACGCAACGTGCATACAAGACACCCCGCAAGTATATAGAAAAAAAAGGGCGGGAAAAATATTTCCTTTTGGCAGGAAAAATATTTCCAAGCGTAGTTACAGCAAACGCCCCGTAAAAGCACAGTTTATTCGAGAGAATAAACAGTAATAAATATCACCGAATGGTCGGAGAAACAGGAACGCTTGAGCAGTTTATTGTACGTCTTGCTAGAGCAAGCGAAGAGACAAGAGTGAAGGGTGTCACATGGCAGCTAGGTGGCTACGCACGTGCTGCATGAGGTAATTGAGATCTCTGTGGTAGATTTCGCTATAGCAGCAGTTGTGGGAGACAACAGCCTCGGTATAACAGTGGTAACGCATTACTTAATGTAATTACGCTTTGAAACATATTTTGACAAATTCTCATTTACAAATTGGAAACCTGAACAAAAGAACATTCTGGAATGGCTAAAAGTTGGTCTAGATTGTATGGATTCAGTCGTTAAACCCGCAACTATTGTTCGGAATACCCCGTGTGTTCGAGGTTGCATGATTAGAAATCACATTCCGACTGTCAATTTCATGATCTAGTAAGTGGCGCTCTGTTTGGTTGGATGAAAGGTCGTTCTTACGTGGCCCCTAATGAGATGTCCTCAGATCTTTGTTAAGCGGTAGCGGTATAACTGTTTCAAAACAGGGGGATAAAAATTATAACCACTTCCGGTTTGATAACAGCACTTCCTGTTTGGGGAATATGCGCCCAACCACGAAACAGAAAGCCCTATGCTATTACCTATTTCACTAACAAGTTAAAAGCACCTACAGTTTAATGACACAGCTTCCAGTTTGGGAAAGACATATATCTTATGAAAGACAACTTCAAAAAAGAAAATGTGCCATGTCTCTTTAAACATTAACAAGAAAATTGTCTACACTTCCGGCTCAAAAACATCACTTCCAGTCTGGGAAAACACACGTCTAAAGCAAAACAACTTGAAGAAAACGTTCTATTTTCTGCCTGAATGATAAAGTTACAATAACTCCAGGGTTTGCACATCGCAGCCGTTTTATTAAAGCACACGCCAAAAGCAGTCAAACTTTGGAACAGAAAGACCTGTACTTATTAATAGCTACCGTAACAACAAAGGTATCGCTATTTCCGATTGATGACATCACTTCCTGTTTGGGAAAACACACGAGACTTGGAATCACAAAGTCCTGTCTTTAACATTAATAGAAAATAATATGAAGTTTGGGTTTAGGGACATCACTTTCGGTTTGGGAAACACCTAATGGAAGACAAACTTTATCACTTCCAGTGGATTGATATCACTTCCAGTTGGAGAAAATACAAGTTATATGCAGTGTGACTGCAAAATGAAAGTCTCATGCCTTGAGCTACATAGACAGCAAAGTAATAAACACCTCTGGTTTAATTATCTTAAAAATCACTTCCAGCCAACCGCATTTTTGATTATTTCTCGTTGAAATCATGGCTGCCACAGCACTGCAGCTCACCTGGGTATGTACTCGTCAGTTTAAAATGTCAACAAGGACAGAGAGTCGTCTAAATGTTAGCAATGATATTCAACCATTTTCTGCATAAGAACTGAGGGCCAAAAACTGTTTTCAGAGCAGAAGAAGTTTACAATGCAAAACCACATTATCAGTGGGTTTGGAAGGGAGCTAACTCTGCTTGGACCCAAATTCAAAACTGAACAAACGTAAAAACAAGAGTAAACCTGCAGCATGACTCATCATTTATCGCAAATATGAAAAAAGCAAATATACGAGCACCAGGTTGCAATTTAGAGTGATCTACCCTTCCCAAATTGTATCGCCAATAATGTCACTATTTACAGAGCCAAATATGCATTTTGTGAGAATTTAGAACATGCTGAAAAACAATCCACGTTGAGCCCGAGTACTAACTACACATATACCAAATTTCATTACATTTTGAAATAGAATAGTTTAGTAATGGCCATGTTTCATATTTCAGTATGGTCAAAGTGCCAAGGTCAAAGTGCAAAGATCATATGAAGGTCAAGATCTAAACATCTCAAACAACAGATCATATATCTTGAGCTGATGCTCCCTGTCACATGTTTAGTACTTACAGGAGTAAAGGGGCACTGCATACACACAGACACTGAACTGATGCACTCTGTCACATGTCTGGTACCTACAGGAGTAAAGGGGCACTGCATACACACAGACACTAAACTGATGCACTCTGTCACATGTCTGGAGAAGGGTGCTGCATACACGCAGATACAGAACTGATCCACTCTGTCACGTGTCTGGTACTTACAGGAGTAAAGGGGCACTGATACACTCTGTCACATGTCTGGTACTTACAGGAGTAAAGGGGCACTGCATACACACAGACACTGAACTGATGCACTCTGTCACCTGTCTGGAGAAGGGCACTGCATACACACAGACACTGAACTGATGCACTCTGTCACATGTCTGGAGAAGGGCACTGCATACACACAGACACTGAACTGATGCACTCTGTCACATGTCTGGTACCTACAGGAGTAAAGGGGCACTGCATACACACAGACACTGAACTGATGCACTCTGTCACATGTCTGGAGAAGGGCACTGCATACACACAGATACAGAACTGATGCACTCTGTCACGTGTCTGGTACTTACTGGAGTAAAGGGGCACTGCATACACTGGGTTACTATAGGGCCCAGCCCCAGCCTGTGCAAGAGGTTTCAGTCTCACGCTGTAGTTGGTTCCCTCCTTCAGGTTGGCAATGACCAACTTCTCTTGATCACTGGGGACTGTACTATTCCCTGTGAACAAGAAGTATAATTTTCAAAACAAATCACATGAGCAGCATAACACTTTACAAAATTTTAATCATCATATTTTCATCCACTTCCGACACAAGAGATATCGCCAGTGCGTGACCAAATATCTCCTTGGAGATATTGTTCATCTTATCACCCACTGCTTAACATAAGCATAAGCTTGAGGATTAAATGTTCAAATTTAACACAAGTGATTTCCTTTTGACAATCCTTTCCTCAAAACATATTCAGTATTCCACATAGTGAGTGAGTGAGTGAGTTGGGTTTAACGCCGCTATTAACAATATTCCAGTTATATCGCGGCGTGTCAGCTTAATGTGGGAGGAAAGCCCCAAGTGATGCAGGTCAAAGACATTTACCACTTCGGTGAAACCCACGAGCACAGGTATGGTGCTGACAAACCTAGAAACATAATCGGGGCGAACCAGGATTCGAACCCACAATCATAGATTTCTGGCGTGCCCAAGGGACGCAACTCTGCACAGCGAATCGCGGTGCCTTAGACGACTGGGCCACCAATGACCCCGTATTCCACATAGGACAAGCCAAATGACTTGTCTTTGAAGACCTAAAACTGTATTCCAGTACAGCAGTATACCTGACACCTTCTGCCGTTTTGATAAGGGATGTGCACAAGCTCATTCCTTAGCAGCAGTTTCTAAATTTTTGGTTGCCATTTTTTGTCGCATCTCTAAAATAACAGCAGATTAAGGGACACACACAGCGGCTTTCATAAGTAGATGTAATATTCAATTATCAAAGTTAAGACAAAATACTACGTATTTGTTGAAATGTGAGGTGATGAGGTTGCGCACCGATTATGGAACGTCTATTTTCAAATACTATTTTTATATTGACGTTCAATTTTTTAAGTTTATGGATTGCTTTGATTTTCAACTTCAGGGTTTTATCACAACCCTACAAATCTAAGTGGAGTCATTTTTCTGTTTATTTTAAAATTTATCGCCCTATTTATCAAATAGTGATGCTGTTGATTGCAGTGTTATTAGTAGAGTCAAACAAACATTGCAGACATTAGCCAGAAAGTAGCAAGAACTAAGACCTGATTATAATGAGATTGCATTAAGTCATGAGGTGAATAAAACACAAAACCAAGGGGACCAACATATAGTTTTCTGATAAAAAGGGGGGTGGGGGGCAGGTCCCTCCGAATCAGTCACTGTCATGGCAACCAGATAGCCCCAACTCACACAATTCATTGATGTTTGTTTGTTGCTTAAAGCTGATTCAGCAATACTTCAGCTAAATGACGGACGGTTAATAATCCAATCTGGATCAAACAAACCTTGCCTGATCCATTGAGTCACCCATTACAACAATCTCCTTATATTGTTCATCTTATCACCCACTGGTCGATACTAATATAAACATAAGCTTGAGGATTAAATGTTAATACAAGCATAGGTTGCTTGGGATGCTTTCTAACCTGGAATCCCAGAGGACTATTAAATACAGCAAGCTGTGTAGTTATTGCAGCAGTACTCAATGACGTAGTGTAGTTATTGTAGCAGTACTCAATGATGTAGTGGGTGAAGACAATCGTTAGACTTACTGCATGCTGTGTAGTTATTGTAGCAGTACTCAATGATGTAGTGTAGTTATTGTAGCAGTACTCAATGACGTAGTGTAGTTATTGTAGCAGTACTCAATGACATAGTGGGTGAAGACAATCGTTAGACTTACTGCATTCTGTGTAGTTATTGTAGCAGTACTCAATGATGTAGTGTAGTTATTGTAGCAGTACTCAATGATGTAGTGGGTGAAGACAATCATTAGACTTACTGCATGCTGTGTAGTTATTGTAGCAGTCCTCAATGACGTAGTGGGTGAAGACAATCGTTAGACTTACTGCATGCTGTGTAGTTATTGTAGCAGTACACAATGACGTAGTGTAGTTATTGTAGCAGTACTCAATGACATAGTGGGTGAAGACAATCGTTAGACTTACTGCATTCTGTAGTGATTGTAGCAGTACACAATGACGTAGTGTAGTTATTGTAGCAGTACTCAATGACATAGTGGGTGAAGACAATCATTAGACTTACTGCATGCTGTGTAGTTATTGTAGCAGTACTCAATGACATAGTGGGTGAAGACAATCGTTAGACTTACTGCATTCTGTAGTTATTGTAGCAGTACACAATGACGTAGTGTAGTTATTGTAGCAGTACTCAATGACATAGTGGGTGAAGACAATCATTAGACTTACTGCATGCTGTGTAGTTATCGTAGCAGTACACAATGACGTAGTGTAGTTATTGTTGCAGTACTCAATGACATAGTGGGTGAAGACAATCGTTAGACTTACTGCATTCTGTAGTTATTGTAGCAGTACACAATGACGTAGTGTAGTTATTGTAGCAGTACTCAATGACATAGTGGGTGAAGACAATCGTTAGACTTACTGCATTCTGTAGTGATTGTAGCAGTACTCAATGACGTAGTGTAGTTATTGTAGCAGTACTCAATGACATATTGGGTGAAGACAATCGTTAGACTTACTGCAAGCTGTGTAGTTATTGTAGCAGTACTCAATGACGTAGTAGGTGAAGACAATCGTTAGACTTACTGCATGCTGTGTAGTGATTGTAGCAGTACTCAATGATGTAGTGTAGTTTTTGTAGCAGTACTCAATGACGTAGTGTAGTTATTGTAGCAGTACTCAATGATGTAGTGGGTGAAGACAATCGTTAGACTTACTGCATGCTGTGTAGTTATTGTAGCAGTACTCAATGACATAGTGGGTGAAGACAATCGTTAGACTTACTGCAAGCTGTGTAGTATTGTAGCAGTACTCAATGACGTAGTGGGTGAAGACAATCGTTAGACTTACTGCAAGCTGAGTAGTTATTGTAGCAGTACTCAATGACGTAGTGGGTGAAGACAATCGTTAGACTTACTGCATGCTGTGTAGTTATTGTAGCAGTTATCAATGACGTAGTGTAGTTATTGTAGCAGTACTCAATGACGTAGTGGGTGAAAACAATCGTTAGACTTAATGCATGCTGTGTAGTTATTGTAGCAGTACTCAATGATGTAGTGGGTGAAGACAATCGTTAGACTTACTGCATGCTGTGTAGTATTGTAGCAGTACTCAATGACATAGTGGGTGAAGACAATCGTTAGACTTAATGCATGCTGTGTAGTTATTGTAGCAGTACTCAATGATGTAGTGGGTGAAGACAATCGTTAGACTTACTGCATGCTGTGTAGTTATTGTAGCAGTACTCAATGACGTAGTGTAGTTATTGTAGCAGTACTCAATGATGTAGTGGGTGAAGACAATCGTTAGACTTACTGCATGCTGTGTAGTTATTGTAGCAGTACTCAATGACGTAGTGTAGTTATTGTAGCAGTACTCAATGATGTAGTGGGTGAAGACAATCGTTAGACTTACTGCATGCTGTGTAGTTATTGTAGCAGTACTCAATGACGTAGTGTAGTTATTGTAGCAGTACTCAATGACGTAGTGGGTGAAGACAATCGTTAGACTTACTGCATGCTGTGTAGTTATTGTAGCATTACTCAATGACGTAGTGTAGTTATTGTAGCAGTACTCAATGACATAGTGGGTGAAGACAATCATTAGACTTACTGCATGCTGTGTAGTTATTGTAGCAGTACTCAATGATGTAGTGTAGTTATTGTAGCAGTACTCAATGACATAGTGGGTGAAGACAATCGTTAGACTTACTGCATTCTGTGTAGTTATTGTAGCAGTACTCAATGATGTAGTGTAGTAATTGCAGCAGTACACAATGACGTAGTGTAGTTATTGTAGCAGTACTCAATGACGTAGTGTAGTTATTGTAGCAGTACTCAATGACGTAGTGGGTGAAGACAATCATTAGACTTACTGCATGCTGTGTAGTTATTGTAGCAGTCCTCAATGACGTAGTGGGTGAAGACAATCGTTAGACTTACTGCATGCTGTGTAGTTATTGTAGCAGTACACAATGACGTAGTGTAGTTATTGTAGCAGTACTCAATGACATAGTGGGTGAAGACAATCGTTAGACTTACTGCATTCTGTAGTGATTGTAGCAGTACACAATGACGTAGTGTAGTTATTGTAGCAGTACTCAATGACATAGTGGGTGAAGACAATCATTAGACTTACTGCATGCTGTGTAGTTATTGTAGCAGTACTCAATGACGTAGTGGGTGAAGACAATCGTTAGACTTACTGCATGCTGTGTAGTTATTGTAGCAGTACTCAATGACGTAGTGGGTGAAGACAATCGTTAGACTTACTGCATGCTGTGTAGTTATTGTAGCAGTACACAATGACTATTGTAGTTATTATAGCTGTACTCAATGACATAGTGGGTGAAGACAATCGTTAGACTTACTGCATGCTGTGTAGTTATTGTAGCAGTACTCAATGACGTAGTGGGTGAAGACAATCATTAGACTTATTGCATGCTGTGTAGTTATTGTAGCAGTACACAATGACGTAGTGTAGTTATTGTAGCAGTACTCAATGATGTAGTGGGTGAAGACAATCGTTAGATTTACTGCATGCTGTGTAGTTATTGTAGCAGTACTCAATGACGTAGTGGGTGAAGACAATCGTTAGACTTACTGCAAGCTGTATAGTTATTGTAGCAGTACTCAATGATGTAGTGGGTGATGAGGGTCTGTTCAGGACACTCATCTGATGCCCATGTCACAGTCAGCCCCAGGTCAGGTTGGGGGTTGACAGCCTGGATACTCGGCTTCTTCTCAGGGACTAAACAGTGAATATGTCATGAGAAATACAACCACTTTACCTGCATCTAATAGGACTAATTAATGTAAGCTTGTAGCAATCACAGGGTTCATTCATAGTGCCGCATTGCGGCTTTCACAAGTCTGTCTTAGGAAATACACAAGAAAGTCTGTCTGAGGAAATACACAAGAAATACCTATATGGGAGGGTTCATGGCTTCAAATACATATTAATCTCACATGTTAAGCAGATTTAGCGGGGCCTTGAAATTGGAAGCACGTATTAGAATATAATTTTCGTAAAAAATACAGAATTGAAATATCGTAAATTTCCTGGCCCACATACTTTTGGCTTCCTCATAGACACAGTAACTCCACATCAGCTGGCTGCTCACACCCTCATCAGTTGTCATTGAAACAGCAAACATGTTACCATCTTCTTGGAACCTTGCATAGGGCACAGCAACAGATCTCTGGGTGCCATCCACAATCAACCAGTCCAGGTCTCCCTGACAACACACACACAACCAATTGTCCACAGCAGTTATGTATTAGGCATACATGGCATACAGGCAAAATATAGACCAATTATCGACAGCAAGGGGCATACAGGCATACATATAGGCCAGCATACAGGCATACACACAGACCAAATGTCCACAGCAAAGGGCATACAGGCATACACAGACCAATTGTCTGCAGCAGCTACCAATGTATACATATTGTGAGGTCTGCTGATTTAATTTCTTGTGGTGTTCATAAATGCTCGGTAGGTAGGTAGGTGAAAGAAGACATTTCTCATTTCCTTCAATACAGGATTTACAACAGTTATAGCACTTCTCTCGCTTTGTGAACAAGGCTCTGGTCCTGAAGGTCTAGAGTATGAACCTTCTACATAATTACCGAACACAAATCTTTGCTTCCCTGGCACCAGAGTACAGTCCAGTGTCGAGGCTGGACATCTGACTTCCACTCCACCCGCACTGACGTGGAGTTATACGGCACACGGACACTGGTGGGCGGCTCCACTGCAAGGCAGGGACAAACAACATTCATAGTCACCGTCATAGCAGCCTGGACACTTTGAACAACATACAGGGAGCTTATGAAAACCATCCAAAATAAGTTAAATTTGTTTCTGAGATGTACACAAGAAAATATGGACTGTCATGTACATTTTCTGTCAGGTTGGTCAGGGGGTGCACATTTGATCATGTTCCTTCCAAAGTCACCTTCTAATTAAACTAAACGACACCCTCAGTTTCTTCCCCCGACACCCTGCTATAGCTCCTCCCCCGATACTGATATATTGCTATAGCTCCACCCCTGATTCTGATACCCTACTATAGCTCCATTCAAGAAACTGATACATTGCTATAGCTCCACCCCTGATTCTGATACCCTGCTACAGCTCCTCCCCCGATACTGATATATTGCTATAGCTCCACCCCTGATTCTGATACCCTGCTATAGCTCCATTCAAGAAACCGATACATTGCTATAGCTTCACCCCTGATTCTGATACTCTGCTATAGCTCCATTCAAGAAACTGATACATTGCTATAGCTCCTCCCCCGATACTGATATACTGCTGAAGCTCCGCCCATGATTCTGACACCCTGCTATAGCTCCAACCAAGAAACTGATATATTGCTATAGCTCCACCCCTGATTCTGACACACTGCTATAGCTCCATTCAAGAAACTGATACATTGCTGTAGCTCCATCCCTGATTCTGATACCCTGCTATAGCTCCTCCCCCAATACTGATATACTGCTGTAGCTCCGCCCATGATTCTGACACCCTGCTATAGCTCCAACCAAGAAACTGATATATTGCTATAGCTCCACCCCTGATTCTGACACCCTGATATAGCTCCACCCAAGAAACTGATACATTGCTATAGCTCAACCCCTGATTCTGATACCCTGCTATAGCTCCTCCCCCGATACTGATATATTGTTGTAGCTCCACCCCTGATTCTGATACCCTGCTATAGCTCCACCCACGATACTGATACATTGCTATAGCTCGACACCTGATTCTGATACCCTGCTGTAGCTCCACCCCTGATTCCGATATTCGCCATAGCTCCACCCTGATTCCGATACTTCGCCATAGCTCCACCCCTGATTCCGATACTTCGCTATAGCTCTACCCCAGATTCTGAAACTTTCAATTCAAACTAGTTTCTAGAGCCTTACAACTCCACCTTGTTATTATCTGAATCATGTCCTCAGAGAAGCAAACACTTCACTCACCGACTCCCTCTCTGGGAATGTGCAGCTTTGTTGGGACGGATGGACCTATAGCTGTGGAGACAGACACGTCTACATTGTAATCAACATTGCACTTGAGTCCTTCAAACTGCACAGTGGTGGATGATATAGGGAGGTTGGGCTTGGTGATGCTGCTACTGCCATCAGATGGTACGGCTGATGCTGTGAAGAAAGTCAAGCGACCATTCTGGTGCTGCTTGTCCGGGGGCTAGAGACAAATATAATGCAGCTGTAGGATTTTGCAAAGAAATGTCTGGGCATCAATACTCAGTACCATCCACCAATCAGGACAAAAATTTAACAACATTATTCACACAAAGTCCTTGGTAAGGACGCAACTCCTAAAAGATGCATCCACTAAGCCTCTATGTCTACATAGACTATTGTGTGAATACAGACAATGTTTTATATTCAACATGGAACTCTAAAACTGCTCCCCAAGATCTATCATCTACAGGAAACTACTGATCTAAGATCCAAAAAGGATGTGAGTCCCACCATGTGCAACCACACATCTGAGTCTAGCACGTGGATCCACTGATCTGAGTCTAGCATGTTCATCCACAGATCTGGGTCTAACATGTGGATCCACAGATTTGAGTCAAGCATGTGGATCTTCAGATCTGTGTCTAACATGTTGATCCACAGATCTGAGTCAAGCATGTGGATCAACATATCTGAGTCTAACATGTTGATCTACAGATCTGCGTCTAATATGTGGATCCACAGATCTGAGTCTAGCATGTTCATCCACAGATCTGGGTCTAACATGTGGATCCACAGATCTGAGTCTAACATGTGGATCCACAGATCTGAGTCAAGCATGTGGATCTTCAGATCTGTGTCTAACATGTTGATCCACAGATCAGGGTCTAACATGTTGATCTACAGACCTGGGTCTAACATGTGTATCTACAGATCTGGGTCTAACATGTGGATCCACAGATCTGGGTCTAACATGTTGATCCACAGATTTGAGTCTTACATGTGGATCCACAGATCTTAGTCAAGCATGTGGATCTTCAGATCTGTGTCTAACATGTTGATCCACAGATCAGGGTCTAACATGTTGATCTACAGGCTGGGTCTAACATGTGGATCTACAGATCTGGGTCTAACATGTGGATCCACAGATCTGGGTCTAACATGTGGATCCACAGATCTGAGTCTTACATGTGGATCCACAGATCTTAGTCAAGCATGTGGATCCACATATCTGAGTCTAGCATGTTGATCTACAGATCTGAGTCTAACATGTGGATCCACAGATCTGAGTCTAGCATGTTCATCCACAGATCTGAGTCTAACATGTGGATCCATAGATCTGAGTCTAGCATGTTCATCTTCAGATCTGTGTCTAACATGTTGATCCACAGATCTGAGTCTAGCATGTGGATCCACAGATCTGAGTCTAACATGTGGATCCACAGATCTGAGTCTAGCATGTTCATCCACAGATCTGGGTCTAACATGTGGATCCACAGATCTGAGTCTAACATGTGGATCCACAGATCTTAGTCAAGCATGTGGATCCACAGATCTGAGTCTAACATGTTGATCCACAGATCTGAGTCTAGCATGTGGATCCACTGATCTGAGTCTAGCATCTGGATCCACAGATCTGAGTTTAACATGTGGATCCACAGATCTGAGTCTAGCATGTTCATCTTCAGATCTGTGTCTAACATGTTGATCCACAGATCTGAGTCTAGCATGTGGATCCACAGATCTGAGTCTAACATGTGGATCCACAGATCTGAGTCTAGCATGTTCATCCACAGATCTGGGTCTAACATGTGGATCCACAGATCTGAGTCTAACATGTGGATCCACAGATCTTAGTCAAGCATGTGGATCCACAGATCTGAGTCTAACATGTTGATCCACAGATCTGAGTCTAGCATGTGGATCCACTGATCTGAGTCTAGCATCTGGATCCACAGATCTGAGTTTAACATGTGGATCCATAGATCTGAGTCTAGCATGTTCATCTTCAGATCTGTGTCTAACATGTTGATCCACAGATCTGAGTCTAGCATGTGGATCCACAGATCTGAGTCTAACATGTGGATCCACAGATCTGAGTCTAGCATGTTCATCCACAGATCTGGGTCTAACATGTGGATCCACAGATCTGAGTCTAACATGTGGATCCACAGATCTTAGTCAAGCATGTGGATCCACAGATCTGAGTCTAACATGTTGATCCACAGATCTGAGTCTAGCATGTGGATCCACTGATCTGAGTCTAGCATCTGGATCCACAGATCTGAGTTTAACATGTGGATCCACAGATCTGAGTCTAGCATGTTCATTCACAGATCTGGAGCTAACATGTGGATCCACAGATCTGAGTCTAACATGTGGATCCACAGATCTTAGTCAAGCATGTGGATCCACAGATCTGTGTCTAACATGTTCATCCACAGATCTGAGTCTAACATGTGGATCCACAGATCTGAGTCTAGCATGTTCATCTTCAGATCTGTGTCTAACATGTTGATCCACAGATCTGAGTCTAGCATGTGGATCCACAGATCTGAGTCTAACATGTTGATCCGCAGATATGAGTCTAACATGCGGATCCACAGATCTGAGTCTAACATGTTGATCCGCAGGTATGAGTCTAACATGTGGTTCCGCAGATCTGAGTCTAGCATGTGGTTCCACAGATCTGAGTCAAGCGCATGTTCATCTTCAGATCTGAGTCAAGCATGTGCATCCACAGGTCTAAGACCACCAAGAACGTCCATGGCAGACACTCTCGGTGAACAGAACATAGAGACCAACCTTCAGATAAATGTAGATGCTTCTCAGGTTGTTGCTGCTGCATCTCCGTGACAAGTAGTTCCCTCCAGTGAGATTGGCACCAAATGAGGGGACTGAAAAGAAATCCCACAAGTAATGTACATATATGTCAGGTATCATTTCAAAAGTCAAACAATTTTTCAAATCAAGAAGAAGACTTAAATTGTCATAAAAAAGTGCCATGACAGGGTAAATGTAGTCAAAAGTTTAAACGTCAACAAAGACAGACACTTAACAAAGTTGCTGTCGCCATTGATATTCAAATATTTGTTAAGTGTTACTGTATTCGACGTAATAAGCGCCCAGGGCGCTCTCAAAATTAGAAATAAGAGGGCTCTTATAAGAATAGTATTTTGGTGGAAAAAACAGAGTTGAAAGATAAATTACGTGGTTTATGCTGACAGCCTGAAATGTTTATATACGACAGATATATTTTTCCAGAATTTAATATCCCATAATTAAGGGTGCATATAACACACGAGTGCGTATTATACGCGAATAAATAAGTCTTGTGTACATTGATCAATCGGAAGGGGTGCTAATTTGGATTGTTCACTAGCCAATATATGAGCAATTATCGGCGTTGGCGCTTATTAAAGCGGGGCGCTTATAACGTCGAATACGGTAATCATGGTAATGGCTGAAGCTTCAGCTTTCTGTATGGTCAAAGCGCAAAGGTTATGTCAAAAGTTTTAATATAGCAAAACACAATATATACCAGTATGTTGAGCCCACTTGTCACAACACGGAGTAATAACACAACCCAAATATGGATTAAGAATATATTTATTAAAATAAAATTAAGAATTATGTTGGTAATGATGTATCCAACTCACTCACACCCATTCAGCTACCTTCCACTATCACCTTCACACACTTCACACTCTTCACATCCTCCACACACACTTCACATCCTTCACATCCTTCACACACACTTCACATACTTCACACACTTCACACACACCCTCTGTCCCTCTAACATACACTTTCCAAATAGTTAAGGTTAACCCTACTTACACATACACTAAGTTTGTACAAATAATCTATCTCTAAATCTCCACTAATACATCAATATATCATCACATCAATGACAGAACATCAATACATCAATACATCAATATCAGAACACATTAATACATCTCAACATCAACACCTCAATACCTTAACATCTTAAGGCATTAATTCTTCCAACACTTCAAATACATGCATGTCAACAATTAATAATCTCTCATTATCATATAATGGGCAGGTTTCTCGGCAGGATAAAGCCAATGGATAAAAACGATATCCGTTGGGGTCATATGCGGATAGAGATGCAAATATCAAAGGTCAAGCAGGACTACTTTCACTGTTTATAAACAAACATGGCGTCGTCCTCGTCATTCGGCGATCGAGTCAAAATTAACCATCGGGAATCTGGATAAACAACAGGGATAATTGCTATCATTATCAAAAGAACAGTCTAATATACTGAAAATCAGTGTCTAACTGTGACGTAGCTAAGGCATTTTATAAGTTTTGGCAACTTTGGAGGTATAAATTTCGAAACAATTTTGCGAGGGTGCGAGGCCTAGCCAAGCGGGATCAGTAGCAATATCTGTGCTTGTAGACCTCTGCGACTTGAAACCTTCTCCACAAATTAAAATAGTTGGATTTGGCCGAAATATGTTTGAATTGTTACCTTGTTTGGTTTTGTCGCTGTGTGTACATCTGACTACACTTCTTAACGTTATGACAGGACAGACCGACTGTCAACAACGTCTGACCGTGCCCGTGACGTCTCATAGACTAGGGTTAGATTAGCTTCCCTTTGACAAAGGGCAGTTACTCTAGCGGACAGACCGATGGATTGCAGCGAAAGGCAATTAAAAACAACTGTTGTTTTGCTTATATATTGCTTTGCCACTGTATAAGAAACAGATTTCAGTTGGAACTATATTGGCTACTGTCAGTGTCCAACTGACACATCACTTACCCTGTGACGTAATAAATATTAATGCGCGCATTCCAGGAAAACTCGCAATGTTTCGGTAATGTTTGTGAGAGAGGGATAGCGATTTTAAAGCACAGAATTAAAGCATGACATTATATGATATAGAGGTTATCACGCTTGTGTGTTTGGGGATGGTAAATATCCTGTATTAGGAATAAACACTATGTATTTAGCTAGCCAAGGCTCGCTAAATACAATGTTTATTCCTAATGCAGGATATTTACCATCCCCAAACACACTCGCGTGATAACCTCTATTTATGTACACATTATGTACAAAGTCATTCGTCACGCCTCCTTCCACGTCATTGCATTATGCACTGAACATTGTGTCGAGCCACACACAGGTCTCCTTTTCCAGATGTAATCATCCTTGTGTACTTGGCCATCTGTCGCCCTGGGGTCAGGCTTCATAAAATGAAGGTCCCTGCTTCCTCATCCTCCATACAGGTGCCCCTCTGGGTCCCCGGACAGCCACAAGATTGGGACAACGCACCAAAACCAAAACTGTCTTGCTGACTCCCAAATCAAGACTGCGTGTGAGATCTCAAAATATGTATTGACGTAATTTACGATGAAAAGACTATGTTCTTACATCCGTTTACTTTTCTATCTTTACATAATACATATATATATATATACATTATCAAGCTACAAGAATATAAGCATAAACAATATTCAAATAAAATGTAACTTGCGCCACAAGATTGGGACAACGCACCAAAACCAAAACTGTCTAACCAAGGTTAGAATTCTCGTTGACTGCACTGAATTTCAGTTCACAGTCTTTTTAAATACCCATTCAATCACACAGCTCATACAACAAAAGACTTCACTACTGACCCAAGCAATCTTACATAACACCTCCAATGCTCACAGCTTACATACAGTCCAACCACACTCTAACACATACAATCAAACCAACTTCAGAGAAATATATACATTGTGATCTTGACATACCTCCCTTCCCAGATAACTGTTGACTGAACAGTTACATTACAGTTAAAAGATCACATGGAATTTTGACTGATATACTAAACCACTTATGGTGGACAACGGCTCAGGAGGTCTGCCCCAACATTCTCAACACCTTTGACTGCCCATATGAAAAATCTGTATGTCTGCAAAGCTAAGGCCCACCTCATAACTCGCCCATTTGCCAACTTAGCCTTCGTCATCCACACAAGTGGTTGATGATCTGTCTCCAGGAAAAACTCCCTTCCATACAAAAATCTACTCAACTTTTGTATACTCCACACAATGGCCAAACACTCCTTTTCAATGGTCGAATATGCCTTTTCCCTGTCAAGTAATTTTCTGCTGACATACATAATGGGAAACTTCTCACCACTCTGTTCCTGCAGAAGGACTGCTCCAATACCTACATCTGAGGCGTCTGTCCTCAGTAGAAATGGCTTGTCCAAATCAGGTTAATGGAGTATAGGTGCACTGGCCATCAGATCCTTGAGAGTTTTAAATGACTTTTCATGACTCTCTGTCCACTCAACTATATTGGACTTACCTTTCTTGGTTAAATCAGTGAGGGGTGCCGCAGTAGCTGAAATTTTTTGGATAAATCGGCGATAATATCCAGTAAGACCTATTAAAGCTCTTACCTGTTTCTTTGTGGTAGGCCTCAACAGTTCTAGGATTTTGTCTAATCTTTTCCTGTCTGGAGAAATCTTACCTTCAGCAACAGTATGGCTTAAAAACTGCAGTGTATGGTACCCAATTACCATTTTGGAGGGTCGAGCTGTGAGATGGTACTGCCGTAACTGACTGAAAACGGCTCTTATGCTGTCCATATGTTCAGACCATTCCTCTGTCCCCTCTGAAATATCGTCAATGTAGCTATCCACAAGAGCTATCCCTCTAAGCACTTTCCTCATTAACCTCGTGAACACTGCAGGGGCGTTCACAACTCCAAATGGCATTACAGTCCATTGATACAACCCATCTGGCGTAACAAAAGCTGTACATGCTTTACTTGCTTCTTCCATGGGAATCTGCCAATAAGCCTTGCTTATGCAGGGTTAGAAACTAACTGTTTCTGTCCACTAGTCCTTACAATGATAACATATAGCAAAACCCTTAAAATGGGCCAATTTCTACTAGTCCTTAGGATACCTTTACTATTGGGCAGTTTGGTAAGGACTACAGGACTAGTGCCAATTTCTAACGCTGAAATAATCAATTTTAGAATAGAACTTACATTTGCTAAGACGAGTGAATAAACTTTCTGTCAAAGTTATTGGCTCTGAGTCAAAAACTGTGAACTGGTTAATCCGACGGAAGTCTACACAAAATCGATAAGTCGAGTCCGGTTTCTTGAGTAACACAATTGGGGAAGCATCAGGGGAATCAGATGGTTCAATTACCCCTAAGTCCAACATTGACTGTACCTCTGATGCAACCACCTCTCTCATGTGATGAGGTAACGGATAAGGACGAGACCTAATGGGATCAGAACTGGTTAACCTGATCTTGTACTCCATGCAATTAGTCCTGCCTGGTAAATCAGTAAGTACATCTGCATACTCTTCCAACAATGCTCTTACTTCTGCCTGCTGTACACTTGTCAAGTCTGCGGATATATCAACATCTAGATACGTCTCCTTAGCTTCTAAATTGGGTGAAGAAATCTCAGGCATATCAAACTCATGTTTGACCTCAACTGTAGTCTCAGGCACATCGATCAATCCTGTACATACATATTGCGGAAGACTGACTCTTACATCACAGATAACAGTACTACCTACTGTCTCCCTTTGCACATATTCCTTCAGCAGATTCGCGTGATAAGTCTTTAACTTATCCCCAACACGATAATTGCCTATACCAAACTTCTCCTCTATAACAAATGGACCTTTCCACTGTAACAGCAACTTGTTCTGATTGGTAGGCAACAACACTAACACCTTATCACCTGGCTTCATCTGTCTAACCTTTGTCTTCACATTATAGTACTTTCTATACCTGTCTGATGCCTTTTTTAGTGTTTGATGGGCTACCTCTATCATCTCCTCCAATCTGTTCTGTAAATCCAGAACATACTGATAAGTAGTCCTAGTCTCTTCATTTGGGATATCCTTGGTCCATAATTCTCTTAAAACCTGAACTGGACCTCTCACCTTCCTACCATACAGTAAATCAAATGGAGCAAATCCCAAACTTTCCTGAAGGACCTCACGATAAGCAAATAACAGGGCTGGTAAGTAATGATCCCAGTCTTGGGGTTGCTATGCACTCAACCGCTTCAGCATGGTTTTCAAGGTGCCATTAAACCTTTCAACTAGTCCATTGCACATTGGATGATACGGAGTTGTGGTGAGCTGTTTAAGTGATAGTAAGCTACTTACCTCTTTCATAACAGCAGACGTGAACTGTGAACCCATATCTGACAGCATCTCCTTTGGAACACCGACCCTGCTAAAAATCTCCAACAATGCCTCAGCAACATACTTAATCTGTTTCTATCCTTGGAAGAGCCACTGTCTCAGGGTACCTTGTAGCATAATCTACCACTGTGATGATGTATCTGTTACCCCTTTCAGTTACTGGATACAAAGGACCAATCAAGTCTACAGCTATTCTTTCAAATGGTGTAGAAATCAAAGGCATCTGTCCTAACAGGACTCTTCCAACCTTGCCCTTCGGGATTGTCCGTTGACACACGTCACATGATAAACAATGACGCCTCACATCGCCCTGAACTCCAGGCCAATAGAACTGAGAAGTAACTCTATCCAGTGTTCTCTTTACTCCCATATGACCAGCCATCAATGACTCATGACACACCTTCATGACCTCTGACCTTAACTGTAAAGGTACTACAGCCTGAATAACGGGATCTTCCTTGCCAACATTCTTGCCAACAAACTTGTGATATAGCATACCCTCATCTGCAAAATACCTTGACACACCTTTAGCTGTTTGTCTTTCTGTCCCTTCATCTATCAACTTCCTGACCTTATCCAAACTACTGTCCTTCCTCTGCTTCTCCATAAACTCTGACCTGCTAAGCGACATACCAACAGATTTCAATGTTTTTATAGGCCTCATTCCTTCTACTCTCTTCTGTCTTTGCCTCCTAGTCTGTACAGCTGCTACAAACTCTCCTCCATCAACATCAACTTCCTCCACCATCGGCAATGGATCATCAGAAGCCCTAGCACCTGGGATGTTCCCTAAGATTACATCAAATAAGGGTGTGCTGCCCTAACAGTACCGCTATAGAAGGGAGAATCAATCGTAACCCAAGCAACTGGAACAATAGTAGCTCTGCCGTCAGCCATGAGACACTTCTGACACTCATCGGTCAAACAATCTTTATTTACAAGAGAGCTTCTGACAATGACGCCACTACAACCAGTGTCTCTCAAGACATTCACCTTTTGTCCACACAAGTTCCCTGGACAAATTGGCATAGTACCACACATACCACACATTGTAGCTGACGTCATCTCTGCTTCACTCTCAATTGGTCTTGCTGCAACATCCCCACTGTTCCTCATATTACCATGAGAGTTTGACTCACAATCTGCTCCTCCATGACCAATGTCCACGTCTACCCCCTTGGCAATAGTACTGACTGCTTCTTCAATCATTACACTGGCTCTGCCCAACTTACCGTAAATATGTGACCTAATTCCCCACAGCTAAAGCAACGTCGTTGCTTAATAGGAACAAACCCCTTCAACTCCTTCTGTTCTCCTGTTTGTGATCTGTTTTGACTACTCGAGCCCTTATCTCTATACTTATCATTACCTGATGGGAAAGACTTATTAGGTTTACCTGAAATGGTACCACGAGCCTCCACAAAATGCTCTGCCAACTTAGCCATCTCGTCTGCAGTTTTTGGCTTCCTCTCCTTTAAGAAAATACTAAGATTCGGTCCAACAGTATTCAAAATCTGTTCCCTCAACAATAAATCCCTAACCCCTGCATATGTCTTTGCTGTCCCACTCAACTCAATCCACCTGGTAAAGTAATTTCCAATCCTAACTATGAACTGGGTAAAGGTCTCACCTGTCTCTGTTTTTGAAGTTCTGAATTTCTGGTGAAATCCTTCTTCCGTCATTTCATATCTTTTCAACAAAGCCTCCTTTACCTGATTGTACTCTTCTGCCTTATCTGGGTCAAGCCGGGAATATTCTTCTAATGCCTTACCTTTTAGCAAGGTACTGAGATACGCAGCCCACTGGTTTTCTGGCCAAGATTGAGCTTTAGCTATTCACTCAAACCGCTGCAAAAAAGCATCTATGTTGTCCTTCTGATCTTCAAAAGGTGGCATCTTAGGCATCTTCGGTACGCCCACTTGCTTAGTTCCAATCTCTACATCTGGCTTACCTTTCTCTATGTTAGTCTTCGCAAGCTCCATATCTAACCTAGCCTTTTCCAATTCCATAATCTTCTCTTTTTCCAGCCTAACTTTTTCTAGCTCTGCATCTCTCATCTTCTCCTCATTATCAAATTTAGCTATTTCTAACTCTATAACCTTATCTTTCTCCAACTTAGCTATTTCCAACTCTATAGCCTTCTCCTTCTCTTCCTTCTCTATCCTTCTCATCTCCCGATTATGCTCCCGCATATCTCTCTCTAAATTCGCTACCTCTCTAGCTACCTGATCCTGAACAAACTTCTGCAGATTTTCCCCGATGTATCCGAACTCCTTCCCTAATGTACAAATCTTATCCAAATCCATGATTGGCAGACTACACCAGAAGCTAGCAATAACCACCCCAAGTAAACCAATGAAACCCTTCATCAAAGGTATTTGGGTCAAAGAGACTCGTCACACCTCAACAAATCAACAGATTACCGTATATCGCTGTGTATAAGGCGAGTTTTTCGTACCTAAAATGAGGGGGTTAAGAAGGGGGGTCGTCTTATACACGGAGTCGAAGATCTCACATTTTTTTCCACTGGCGATGTCAACCGGCGTCCGATAGCCAGCCCAGCATTTGACAATAAAACTTCACATTTCGTCCTAAATAACTGTTCCAATAACTATTTCCATACATAAACATGATTTTTATCTCTTTTCCTTGAATAAAGTTTAATAATTTCTGCAAATAAAGTTGAAATGACCCTCGCCACGATGCAGATTGTCAAACCAGCTGACACGGTAAAACAATCAACATCCATGAGTAGAGAGCCGGAAGTACTGGTAAGCATTTGCATATTGCACATGTGACCTAACATGTGATAACCGGTGAAGCTGAAATCAATTCCCGCTGTTTTTACAGTTGTATTAACAACTGTTGGAGACAGTGTGAATAAGTGATTGTGGAATAAACACGCTGAATGTGAAGCAAATATAAGACTAGTTAGTTACAAAATAGTTAATTGGCGATTAAATTACTCACCATTGTCTCTTATATGTTATTACTTCATAAATGAATTTTATTTTACGGGCACCAATTTGGTGTCGTACCGTGTAAACTTAAAATGGCAACATGTGCTGGAGTTACACATGCGACCATTCATCGTAGAAAAAAAAATGCAAGATAAACAAATTTTTATTGCATATATAAGGTTTGTGTGCGCACTTGTGTTGTGCTTCATTCCAGGTCGTCTTATACACGGAGTATAGGATTTTGGGTTGATTTCGAAGGCGTGTACAGGGGGGTCGTCTTATACGTGGGGTCGCCTTATACACAGCGATATACGGTACATACAGTCACTTGAAGGCACTATGGAATAACTGGGAAACATCCTACTAGGCCACATACCCTATCTACGCCTATCAGTTATTCTAGGCAATTTCAGATACTCAAGCCAAAATCCAACCTATCACTCCGTGTATGACAAAAAAAATCTTTCATCCCACCACTGCAACCAAAAATGTCACAACACGGAGTAATAACACAACCCAAATATGGATTAAGAATATATTTATTAAAATAAAATTAAGAATTATGTTGGTAATGATGTATCCAACTCACTCACACCCATTCAGCTACCTTCCACTATCACCTTCACACACTTCACACTCTTCACATCCTCCACACACACTTCACACTCTTCACATCCTCCACACACACTTCACATCCTTCACATCCTTCACACACACTTCACATACTTCACACACTTCACACACACCCTCTGTCCCTCTAACATACACTTTCCAAATAGTTAAGGTTAACCCTACTTATACATACACTAAGTTTGTACAAATAATCTATCTCTAAATCTCCACTAATACATCAATATATCATCGCATCAATGACAGAACATCAATACATCAATATCAGAACACATTAATACATCTCAACATCAACACCTCAATACCTTAACATCTTAAGGCATTAATTCTTCCAACACTTCAAATACATGCATGTCAACAATTAATAATCTCTCATTATGTACACATTATGTACAAAGTCATTCGTCACGCCTCCTTCCACGTCATTGCATAATGCACTGAACATTGTGTCGAGCCACACACAGGTCTCCTTTTCCAGATGTAATCATCCTTGTGTACTTGGCCATCTGTCGCCCTGGGGTCAGGCTTCATAAAATGAAGGTCCCTGCCTCCTCATACTCCATACAGGTGCCCCTCTGGGTCCCCGGACAGCCACAAGATTGGGACAACGCACCAAAACCAAAACTGTCTAACCAAGGTTAGAATTCTCGTTGACTGCCAAATCAAGACTGCGTGTGAGATCTCAAAATATGTATTGACATAATTTACGATGAAAAGACATGTTCTTACATCCGTTTACTTTTCTATCTTTACATAATACATATATATATATAGGTAGGGTCGGGTACTTGGGTAGTACATTTGGACTCGTCCCAGCTCTACAAGGAGCCATGACCAATCATAAAGTAATTCTAAGAGCGTCACTGATTTTTTATTTTTATGATTCTCCCTACATACCATCCTCCCATGTTGTCAAACTGATGGATTGAGTGCTGCTCTGGAAGCCATGATCGATCATAAGTAATTCTAGTATTGTTGATTTTCAATATTTATGATTTTTCACTACATACCATCCTCGTGTGTGGTCTGATTGATGGACTGAGTGTTGCTCCAGAAGCCTCCAACAGTTGGCTTGACTGAGACGAGGAATGTGTAGTGGGTGTCTGGCTTCAGATCACACAGGGTTGTTGTGTTGCCTGTCACCGTACTGTGTAACTCCTGAAAACAGGGGCAAGGCAGTCAGAATACTATTGGTTCATATCTAGGTGATGTTTCTAACATGTTCATTTGACAACTGAATGAATGTTGCTTTGTGCTAAATCAGCACGATTCAAGCTCTATTTGTGGGCTGCTAGTCATCTAGCCGGGACCATGGAAGGCGGTTATTGAAAACAACTACTTTGAGGGAAGATGACACAAAATTAAGTACTCTCTTCATTCTTATTCTGTCATGAGTCCCTACAGAGAGACAAGCACTGGGTACTGGGGGCCTATGCTGCTCTAAATCCCCACAGAGACACAAGCACTGGGCGCTAGAGGCCTATTCTGTTCTGAATCCCCACAGAGAGGCAAGCACTGGGTACTGAAGGCCTATTCTGTTCTGAATCCCCAAAGAGAGGCAAGCACTGGGTACTGGGGGCCTATTCTGGTCTGAATCCCCACAGAGAGGAAAGCACTGGGCGCTAGAGGCCTATTCTTGTCTGAATCCCCACAGAGAGACAAGCACTGGGCGCTAGAGGCCTATTCTGTTCTGAATCACCACAGAGAGGCATGCACTGGGTACTGAAGGCCTATTCTGTTCTGAATCCCCACAGAGAGGCAAGCACTGGGTACTGAGACGAGCATTGGCTACTGGAGGCCTATTCTGTTCTGAATCCCCACAGAGAGGGAAGCACTATGTACTAGAGGCCTATTCTGCTCTGAATACCCACACAGAGACGAGCATTGGGTACTGGGGGGCTATTCTGTTCTGAATCACCACAGAGAGACAAGCACTGGATACAAATGGGCTTCACACACTGCACCCATGTCGGGAATTGAACCCGGTTCTTCGGCGTGACGAGCGAACACTTTAACCACTAGGCTACCCAACCGCCCCACAACTCCTGTGAAGATGTAAGCCAACTCACAGATCCATCCTTCACTGCTACTGCCCTGAATATCATCGTCTTCATCCCCAGCTGGCCATGCGTCCAAGCAAGTGTCACACAGCAACTCGTCCAGTGGGACACCCTCAGAGAGGTGACAGCGGCTGGTTTCACTGGAAGATCAACTCAGCCATTAACAAGAGGGCATGATACAGCAACATATATAATCACTTAGACGTTCTGTAAATGATGAGTGTGTCACTCCCTCAGGTTTGAACCCAGCTCTATATTATACATTCATGTTGCAGGAATGATGATTTCAGAGTTTGAAAACACCATTTTTTGCAGTGATTTAATCATATCACAGTGTGTCAGCTTCACAGTGTGGCTGATGAAACAAGTTTGAATCCCAGGAGTAAGGTCCTGACAAACCAGGATCATAATTTGGGTGAATCTTTGATTCATAACCATGACTACCAGTTACCAATATTACAACTTGAGTTTGAGTCCAAGCCAAGCCAATGTTTGAGAAACATTCTATGGCATCACGGAACAATGACTATCAGTTACCAATATTATACCTTGAGTTTGAGTCCAACACAAGCCAATGTTTGATGGTAAGAGAAACATTCTATGGCATAATACAGCCATGACTATGGCTTGGACGGGTAACTGAGGCATCTGGGAGAGTAGGGTCCTGAGGAGAACAGGGTACCCACAGGTCTACCAAGGTCTGCAGTTAGTCATGTGATATATTGTACAGTAGTTAGTGAGTTGGGTTTAACACCGCTTTTAACAGTATTACAGTTATATCACGGCGTGTCAGCTTAATGTGGGAGGAAAGCCCCAAGTGATGCAGGTCCCAGACGTTTACCACTTTGGTGAAACCCTTGAGCACGGGTATGGTGCTGACAAACCTAGAAACATAATTGGGGCAAACCGGGATTCGAACCCACAATCATAGGTTTCTGACATGCCCAAGGGACACAACTCTGCATAGCGAATCGCGGTGCCTCAGACGACTGGGCCACCAGTGCCCCCTCTTCTGGCTTAACTATACTGAACCAAGAATATATTTTGTATAAAGGTAAAGGTTCAAAATAAGCATGATTTTATCTATCCATGAATGTATATATTTGGACAGTGAGAGAGGTGCTGAAAGTTTCTGCCACCACAGTACTCACCCCATTCATCTGGTTTGACGGTCAGTGAGGTTCTGAATGTCTCTCCCACCACAGTACTCACCCCATTCATCTGGTCTGACGGTCAGTGAGGTTCTGAATGTCTCTCCCACCACAGTACTCACCCAATTCATCTGGTCTGACGGTCAGTGAGGTGCTGAATGTCTCTCCCACCACAGTACTCACCCAATTCATCTGGTCTGACGGTCAGTGAGGTTCTGAAAGTCTCTCCGACCACAGTACTCACCCAAATCATCTGGTCTGACGGTCAGTGAGGTTCTGAATGTCTCTCCCACCACAGTACTCACCCAATTCATCTGGTCTGACGGTCAGTGAGGTGCTGAATGTCTCTCCCACCACAGTACTCACCCAATTCATCTGGTCTGACGGTCAGTGAGGTTCTGAATGTCTCTCCCACCACAGTACTCACCCAATTCATCTGGTCTGACGGTCAGTGAGGTTCTGAATGTCTCTCCCACCACAGTACTCACCCAATTCATCTGGTCTGACGGTCAGTGAGGTTCTGAATGTCTCTCCCACCACAGTACTCACCCAATTCATCTGGTCTGACGGTCAGTGAGGTGCTGAATGTCTCTCCCACCACAGTACTCACCCAATTCATCTGGTCTGACGGTCAGTGAGGTTCTGAATGTCTCTCCGACCACAGTACTCACCCCATTCATCTGGTCTGACGGTCAGTGAGGTTCTGAATGTCTCTCCGACCACAGTACTCACCCAATTCATCTGGTCTGACGGTCAGTGAGGTTCTGAATGTCTCTCCGACCACAGTACTCACCCAATTCATCTGGTCTGACGGTCAGTGAGGTTCTGAATGTCTCTCCGACCACAGTACTCACCCAATTCATCTGGTCTGACGGTCAGTGAGGTTCTGAATGTCTCTCCGACCACAGTACTCACCCAATTCATCTGGTCTGACGGTCAGTGAGGTTCTGAATGTCTCTCCCATAACAGTACTCACCCAATTCATCTGGTCTGACGGTCAGTGAGGTTCTGAATGTCTCTCCCACCACAGTACTCACCCAATTCATCTGGTCTGACGGTCAGTGATTTCCTGAATGTCTCTCCCACCACAGTGTTAGTCACAGTGATGTTGATGCTGTACTCGCTGCTGTGGATACTGTCGATGACACACGATGTACTCCTGCTGCCATTACAATAGAACCAGCTGGAACAGTGAGTAGTGTATCTGTAAGCATACAGGGCAGTACAACACAGAATACAGGTCACTACAACAGAATACAGGGCAGTAAAACACAGAATACAGGGCAGTACAACATGGAATACAGGGCAATACAACACAGAATACAGGATAGTACAACACAGAATACAGGTCACTACAACAGAATACAGGGCAGTAAAACACAGAATACAGGGCAGTACAACATGGAATACAGGGCAATACAACACAGAATACAGGGCAATACAACACAGAATACAGGTCAATACAACACAGAATACAGGTCACTACAACAGAATACAGGGCAGTAAAACACAGAATACAGGGCAGTACAACACAGAATACAGGGCAATACAACACAGAATACAGGGCAATACAACACAATACAGGTCACTACAACAGAATACAGGGCAGTAAAACACAGAATACAGGGCAGTACAACATGGAATACAGGGCAATACAACACAGAATACAGGATAGTACAACACAGAATACAGGTCACTACAACAGAATACAGGGCAGTACAACACAGAATACAGGTCACTACAACAGAATACAGGGCAGTAAAACACAGAATACAGGGCAGTACAACATGGAATACAGGGCAATACAACACAGAATACAGGATAGTACAACACGGAATACAGGGAGGTAAAACACAGAATACAGGGCAATACAACACAGAATACAGGGCAATACAACACAGAATACAGGACAGTACAACACAGAATACAGGGCAATACAACACAGAATACATGGCAGTACAACAGAATACAGGGTAGCACAACACAGAATACAGGGTAGCACAACACAGAATACAGGGCAGTACAACACAGAATACAGGATAGTACAACACAGAATACAGGGCAGTACAACAGAATACAGGGCAGTACAACACAGAATACAGGTCACTACAACAGAATACAGGGCAGTAAAACACAGAATACAGGGCAGTACAACATGGAATACAGGGCAATACAACACAGAATACAGGATAGTACAACACGGAATACAGGGAGGTAAAACACAGAATACAGGGCAATACAACACAGAATACAGGGCAATACAACACAGAATACAGGACAGTACAACACAGAATACAGGGCAATACAACACAGAATACATGGCAGTACAACAGAATACAGGGTAGCACAACACAGAATACAGGGTAGCACAACACAGAATACAGGGCAGTACAACACAGAATACAGGGCACTACAACAGAATACAGGGCAGTACAACACAGAATACAGGGCAGTACAACAGAATACAGGGTAGCACAACACAGAATACAGATCAGTACAACACAATACAGGGCAGTACAATAGAATACAGGGCAATACAACACAATACAGGGCAGTACAACATGGAATACAGGGCAATACAACACAATACAGGGCAGTAAAACAGAATACAGGGTACAACACAGAATATAGGGCAGTACAACAGAATACAAAGCAGTACAACAAGGTTATCATACAATTAAACACTGCAGGGAGAATAAACCATGAGAGGTGCAGCCCAAAGTGGATTATTCTCCCTGCAGTGTTGTATTGTAAAATAAACAAGGAACACGAGTCGTTTAGTTCTGAAATGAGATATCAACATTTTGTACGGCCTCTTTAAGGATGTCAATAAGATGTACAAGATTTTTAAAAATACTTTCCCAAATTTAAATACTGAATACTGAATACTGAATACAATCTGACCTAGACAATGTTGGACAAGTCTATTTTATGAACAGGGGGGTTACGTTTGGTATTTCCCAGATATTCTCACAATTTTCACATCAATTATCTGTACTTTTTGTCCCAATACCAATTCTCATATCTCTCCCAACCGTTCAGCCATTGCCTTCATCTTCATTGCCCAGCTACATCTATTAAGAACAACTGATTAGGACGCTTCCCTTTGAAAAAAAAAACATTGTTCAATTTACGTTGTCATAAAGTTGCGAGCGCATGTACATATGGGTTCGAATCTCCCTGTACATAATTATTACTAATAATAGAACAAAATATGGGTTTTTCAGATTAAAAACGATGTTTTGTTGGTCTGTTTTCAGTCGTACAATTGGGTATCTCATACCTCTAGTCGCACGTTAAAAGGAAGCCAGAAGCTGGAATGTAAACAATAAACTTGTTTCCGTCCGGTTGCGCACGCACCTCCCGATGACATGCATCAAATCTCGAAGAATAAGCCATCAAGCAGGACTGGACTGGATTACTTCCCAGTGGGGATGGCTGGATCTGAAAAACCCATGTTTTAGTCTGTTTTCAGTCGTACAATTGGGTAGAATTCGACGGAACACTGGAAGGAGGGTCTGGAAAGTAATCCGGAAGTGACCTCTTGCACGTCGAATGTACCAAGTTCCTCACCCCTGTAGTAACAATAGAACATTCGACCAGATGCACGGACGAGACAAATTGTTTATCACGAACGCACAGCATGGTTAATGCTCATCGACACACAACTAATTATCGATGCGACAGGACAACTGCACGCGTCAGTTGAACGGCGATCGAAGTGGTCGACGTATAGTTTAGTTACAGAGCAACTCGCAGTATACAAGGTAACTAAACAGCATGTTTAATGCTCTTCGACCCACAAGTAAGTATCGATGCGACAGGACAACTGCACACGTCAGTTGAGGTGCGATCGAAACGTGGTCGGCTTATAATGTAGTTACAGAACGACTCGTCGTAGGCAAGGTAACTAAAACAGCATGTTTAATGCTCTTCGACACACTACTAATTATCGATGCGACAGGACAACTGCACGCGTCAGTTGAACTGCGATCGAAGCGGTCGACGTATAGTTTAGTTACAGAGCAACTCGCAGTATACAAGGTAACTAAAACAGCATGTTTAATGCTCTTCGACCCACAAGTAACTATCGAAGCGACAGGACAACTGCACACGACAGTTGAATTGCGATGGAAGTGTGGACGGTATATAAAGTGGTTCAGAACGACTCGTCGTATCCAAGGTAACGAAAAATAGCATGGTTAATGCTCTTCGACACACAACAAATTATCGATGCGACATGACAACTGCACACGTCAGATGAATTGCGATCGAAGTGTGGTCGGCGCATAATTTAGTTACAGAGCAACTCGCAGTATACAAGGTAACTAAAAAATACGAGCAGTACTTCTAGTCGGAGACAATGTCGAAGGCGACCTGATCGAGAGGCTCGTAAGTCTAACGAGACAGGTAGCGCAGAACGATATCGAGGTCCCAGGCCGGCAGGCGGAATTAATGTGACTCATCTTCAACCATGAAGGCACGTAGAATTTTGTGCAATTCCGGTATTTTAGTGAGCCTGTCGTCCGTAGAAGGCGACCCTGATCGCCTGCCGACGGAGCCATTCTACGACCGGCTTTTATGATCCGTGTGATGAAGTCTTCCCCCTACCGGTAGCTCGTCTAAAGGTAGTAGGCTCCGACGACGGTGACGGCGGGGAAAAGGGACCTCACTACCTCCCCCGCCGGCTCGCTGTCGACAGCATAGCAAGCGGTTGTAGCTGGAGACGAACAGCAGTGTCCATGGATCCCCAATGCCTGTCTACTACAAGAATCTTGGAGGGCGCTGGTTTCTTGAAGAGTAGCCCCCAATCCAAGTCCCTACTCATGGGTGACGAAAACGGCATGCCATAGATCGGGTAACGCGATCGAACAGGTGGTTTGCTGAAACTCTGCCCCGGCAGAGCAGAGGCAAGTTCTGGTCCATATCGTGAACCATGGCTCTGAAGACATTGGGAGGAGAAGACTGAAGAGACTGCGGCGTAACTCCAACCTTTAAGCCAGCACTCGTCGGTTTGTCATCATCTTTTGATAACTCAGGCAGAAAAGTGAGATAGCCAAGCCATAGCCAGGCTGTCGTCACAATCCATCGTCGACGTCGATTGTGTAGATGTAGATGAAGGTACTGGTGTATTGGTCGATGGTCCATGGACCTCTGACGTAGTCGAATCCTTCTTGGTCGACGCCCTGGAGGTGAGTACCGCCGTCGTGATCTGGGCTATCAAAGCTGGGGCGATATGAAAGTGAGACGAGGGTGTCGATCGGTCATTATCTCTACGACGCTGTCGTCACAATCCATCGTCGACATCGATTGTGTAGGCGTAGATGAAGGAACCGGTGTACAGGACGATGGTCCATGGACCTCCGACGTAGACGAACCCTTCTCGGTCGACGCCGTCAAGGCGAGTACCGCCGCCGTCATCTGGCCTATCAAAGCCGGGTCGGTATGAAAGTGAGACGAGGGTCACGATCGATCATTATCTCTACGACGCTGTCGTCACAATCCATCGTCGACGTCGATTGTGTAGGCATAGATGAAGGAACCGGTGTACAGGACGATGGTCCATGGACCTCCGACGTAGACGAACCCTTCTCGGTCGACGCCGTCAAGGCGAGTACCGCCGCCGTCATCTGGCCTATCAAAGCCGGGTCGATATGAAAGTGAGACGAGGGTCACGATCGATCATTATCTCTACGACTCTGATCTCCCAAAAACTCCCTTCGAAGGCGTCGCACGTCCCCGTGGGGACGAGGGCTACGATCTCTAACTGTAGAAGTACTACGATCCCCATCGTAGTTATCGTCCGAATCGAACTCCCGACGACCTCGAAGGCGACGAACGTCCTCGTGTCGTTTACTGTCACTCGACGAGGCCCTCGACCTGTCGTCCGGTGAACGGGAACGACTTCTAGAGAGGGATCTGTGTTCACTGTCGACCCGCACGACGTTCCTATCGTCGTTGGTAGGACGAGAGACGGACCGACTGGGGACCGTAGTCCCCTCGTGGTCCTCGTCACCACCCGGTCCCGTCGTAACGGGGGTGGCTGAGTGACGCTCTCGATCAACTGATTGACGAAGATCAGTCGTGCGGGTAGTATCATCAGCAGGCGAACGGTCCCGTGTCTTGTCAAAAACATAAGTTGACTGAGGCGGGTCTTTTTCAACTGATTTCTTGGGTGTGGCCGACGCGCCACCCCCAGGGCCAGATGTAGGGGGTGCAGAGTCCAAGGATCCACCCGATGACCTCATCTGCCTGTAGCGCTGGTCAGTAGCCCGCTTCGCCAACGCACGAAGATACAAGTTAAAGTTGATAGAAGACAAATGCTCACATTCTTAACAACGTTTATTCCACGAACACGTTGAAAACCCGTCCTTATTTATGCAGGAAGGACAATACTTGTGAGGATCTACTTTAGACAGTTGTCCTTGACACGAGGCACAAATGCACGACATATATTGCCACGTGTATAATCAAGTGAAACCCAAACAATGGATTACCAATGATTACATTCCAGGAGTCTACAGGTAAGACATAGTATTATTACTGTATTAGAACAACAACTGTAGACACACGATAAGTACTAGTAGAATACAAACTAGCAGTCTAACGCGAAAGTCCTTCTCGAGCGACCAGCTCAGAGGCGCGCTGAGAGATTTGTGGGATGTCATCGGGAGGTGCGTGCGCAACCGGACGGAAACAAGTTTATTGTTTACATTCCAGCTTCTGGCTTCCTTTTAACGTGCGACTAGAGGTATGAGATACCCAATTGTACGACTGAAAACAGACTAAAACATATTTCTTATCCACTCAAATCAACATTTGTGTTTGTTTGCCCTTTCCAAGAATGCAGGGTCAGGATCTTGGGACACTGAAGGCAGCGGTATATCAAGGAATCACTGTATGGCTGCTAAGAGTTGTGTGAGTTGGGTTTAACATCGCTTTTAACAGTATTCCAGTTATATCACGGCATGTCAGCTTAATGTGGGAGGAAAGCCCGAAGTGATGCAGTTCTCAGACGTTTACCACTTCGGGGAAACCCACGAGCATGGGTATGGTGCTGACAAACCTAGAAACATAATAACATAATCTGGGCGAACCGGGATTCGAACCCACAATCATAGGTTTCTGGCGTGCCTAAGGGAAACAACTCTGCACGGCTAATAGCGGCGCCTCAGACGACTGGGCAAACCATCTTTAAAACTAGGAGCTAAATTCTGTGAGCATGTTTTGGCGACATCTTTGTCGGGATCATCAACTAGTTCGAGTTCTGCACCTACCATATGGAAAACATATACAGCAATCTGATTCATTAACTCAACACTCACCTGTTAGCTCCCCGGGACGTCCAGATGGCAGACACATTGACATGATTCTCATGTTTGTACTGCTCTTCCCATGTAAACTCCAGTGACTTCCAGTTAAAACAAACAGCACTCAGGTTTGACACATGTGGAGGGTCTACAAAACAGATCACAGGATATCAGAGATATTCGGGTCAGAACAAATGGATAAATCGCAAGTGTTTCAGTGACATGGGATTATTTTTGCATTAATGTTTCCATAACAAAATGAATTAGGCCATGCCCTAACAGACAACTCTTTCCTGATTTGCTAATAAAATAACTGGGCGGGGCTTGTGTTGCATTACTGTGCTGAATGATGTCACTAAATGTATAATGTTGTCCACAGAGTTTTTGTTTTAATGATCAAATGAACATTCTGTGATGAAGTTATAATTATTATTGACGTATTTATTCGCAAAAATCCAACATCTGTGATTGAATAGCTGATGATGGTGTTACTTCATCAGGTGTTTCATGGACATTTGGAAGCTGATAGTTGACAGGGACTCAAGATGTATGGGTTCTACCTTTGTATTCCTTGCTTTACGATGCAAACATTCGAACCTACTTCGTTCCACCTCAGTGATGATTGCCACTTCCCTGAAGTAACCTCGATGCATGTAATCATGTTCCCGGGCAAGGGAGATAACTGACTGTAAAAGTACAGTTTCCATCTTTTTGGGAAATAGGATGGAATTCTGGGCTCGATCGTAGCGCCACCAGTGACTGTAAAGACTTATGTCCCTCCTATGTCCCTCCCATTTACCAATCAGTTTCCACTTCTCATATCACTTGCATTTGCTTCGAACAAAATGGCGGCTCCCATTCAAGACAATCGAATCGATATCAAGATTTATTTTGACAAAATGGGTTTTACTTCGCAAAGTGCATCAATCACACGGGCATCTTTATTAAACATGAAAGATTTGGAAAATATCTGTTGATGCTGCGTTGGTGGTACACATGCTTTGCAAATCCTGCAATTGACCGAAATCTGCATGGCAGTTTACGAACCGGATGTCAATACATTACACAATTTTGATTGGACTGTGCAGAGATTCATTAGTCAAAATATAAATCCATAATTCCAGCCTAGTTCAGCAAGGGTGGAAACAGGACTTTTATAGTCAGTTAACGCCCTTGAATCGGTAAGATGAGGTATACAAATACAGTCATATAAATCAACATATATATTGCATCTCTGTGTTAGCTCATGCTCACAAAAGTGTCATAACACTTTAAAATGTCAGAAAATACAAAGATGATTCCATAAGGATAAAAAACATAAGTCATGGTTCTCAGGCACTGCCACCATCATTAAGTCCACCACACGTTTCGTTTTTATTTCCGTTAAAATAAGGGAGAATATACCGGGCAGTTACTTCCCTTTATGTGTACACTGCTTTACTGTGCATCTCGTGTTATGATCATAGCGGGAGTATGTGTGCTTGTTTTGCTGTTCGCAAACTTGGTCATGTGAAATTTGTAGGCATTGTTTTGTGCACAGAGATTAAGCTTATCGTGCGTAATTGTCTCGATGGAAATAGCATCAGCTGTGCACACATTTTTGTGTAATTCATTTGAAACAATGCCCAAAATCATGATTGAAAAGATTTTAAATGCAAAGATGGGAAGCCATTGTATCTCTAACAACATAACTACAGATTTGTTGACATGCCACTTTCAGTGTTATGTGCTCACGGTAACGTCTTTGTGTTGGGAAAACAAAATCGAAACTCGTATGGGAGTATTATGTGAACCCCTCTCTTCATAGCTTTATATTTTGGAGAAAAAAGTGTGCACTATACACAAGAAAGTATGGTAGTCAAATATTCCAGAGTACCTTATATTTTTTGGCCATGTTCCCTTAATAAATCTGTTTCTTATTGAAACTGAAAGCAATGGCTCGCGAGCATTGTATATATTTTGCTTTGTAGAGTATGGAAGCATATTAGTGGCACAGTCTAAAAAAATACATTTACGTAGACAATGCATGCATCTTTATTTATTTGACAAGTATGAACACGTCACAATCTCACTTTATAGCTAGACATCATATCAATGTTTTAGCAATAGATGCGTAGATTCACAGAATAAGAGTTGTGATAAAACAATAAAACTGTTATTAGTTTAACGTGTTAAATGCCATGAGTCCTATCATATTACTAGACACCCACCGGCTCCATCCCCTCCATTCTATGGAATACTCTATGGAAATGCCCACTCAGTGCAGAAAATCACTCATTCTGCAGAATTCGTGCAACATTTGCATTTGTCTGCCACAGAATTTGTCAAATACACTGCAGAACCTTACATGTGAGTCAAAAGCTGGTTTGAAATTGTGCATTGTATACATTAAATCATTCCAAATAATTATTTGTGTGGGATGGAAAATAAGATCTATTAACCATTTTATGTTTTAAGAAATATCCTGATTTCATTTTGAATTGTTTGTACTAAAACTTACTAATGTTTACATTCACAATCACCAATTCACTTCAATCAGCTTTATCAGAAAAGTGCCTCCCACAAGTAAAAAAAGTGACAAACAGAGCTATAGATAAGATTTTGGTTATTTGGGCATTTTACCCAGGGTTTGATTTTGATTGGGCCTCCACAGGTCTTAGAAGGTATTCAAATTTCTATTACCCACCTGTTTCTTGACATTTGGTATTTAACTTAAAACCTGTTTCATAACAATCACTGAAAATCATTTAAAACCATGTGAATAGTAGAATAACCGTCTGCATTTCCTTGCAGCTCCCTCTCCGAGAAGCCATTTTTTGCACTGTGTACATTTCAATTGGCATCTATCAGTATGTTTGTCGCAGAAGCTTTTCCAAATGTAACTGTCGGTAAGTGAATTTGTATTTTACACAAATACGCAGCTTATCTCAAGCTCTAGGAACTAGGAAATTCTTCAAAAGTAAGCTTAAATGTTTGCACAATTGTGTACAGAATTATTAAAAACTGGTTGTAGCATTTACAAAAAAATGTCCCTAGAATTTGTATTATTTGGCCACGGAATACAGTGTGGACTACCATAAGATCACATGGAGCTTGTCCTGGTGAGCTAACAAAGGGTCCTACTCCCTCATTGATCAACTTACAATCAACTGTGAGAAGCTGGATGCCTATATTTGTTATTTCTGTTTTGCTGTCATTTTTGAGGCACTGTATCATCAGAGCGCCTACAAATTTGTCATTGTCGAGGACAGGCATATTCAGCTGCATAGTAGATGGTGAAATAACAGTCTGGTATTCAGCTGGCAGCAACTCGTCACTTTTCCATGTAAAGTACAAGTCACTGGAAGAGCTGTTGGCATCCAACAGGGTGCAGTTTAAGGTGGCATTTCGTCCAAAGAAGCCATAGGGGTTAATGGGTAACAAACCTACAAACAGACAGAAAAGTAATTATCGGCTGTCAAGCGGTGTAGACAAAATTATACATGCCTGAAGTTTGTTTGTTTGTATTTTTGTTGTTTAACGCCACACTTAGCAATATTCCAGCTATATGACAGCAGTCTGTAAAAAATCGAGTCCAGACAATCCAGTGATTGACATCATGAGCATCGATCTACACAATTGGGATACGATGACATGCATCAACCAAGTCAGTGAGCCTGACCTCATGATCCTGTTAGTCGCCTCTTACTACAATGGTAGTCTCCTCATTGGATAAGCATTAGTAGCTGGAGAGGGGTCGACAGATGAACTATCTACTGGAGATGTTGTAAGGGAACTTTACAGCCAGCAGGGACTGTCTACTGTGAGTTGGACCTTCACAACCAGGACACCCTACAGATATAAGTCCCCCATGAAGAATCTGTCTTCAGCATACATAGTGAGTGAGTACGGTTTTACGTCGCTTTTAGCAATATTCCAGCAATATCATGGCGGGGGACACCAGAAATGGGCTTCACACATTGTACCCATTTTGGGAATCGAACCGGGTCTTCGGCGTGACGAGTAAAGGCTTTAACCACTGGGCTACCTGACCACCCCTCAGCATACAAAGACTTATGTAAAGTAGAAGTGTGCCATGTGATTAGCCATGATAAGCTGTGAGGCAAAATTATCATCCGTATTACCATATTATGATTATGATTTTCATATTAATCAATATGTTATCTAAGAATATATTTCTTAACCTGATGTGAAAATTGATATTTCTTTTGTGTATTAATTCATGGACAAAGTTGGTTGACACCAATCTCATTAAAATCAGATCTTAGTTCTTGCTATCGCTAAACAAAGATCTGCGGACATCCCATTACGGGTCACGTCAGAACGACCTTTCATCCGACCAATCAAAGCGTCGCTTACCAGATCATGAAAGTAACAGTCGGAATGTGTTTTCTAATCATGCAACCTCGAAAATGTTAACACAGGGTATTCCGAACGACAGTTACGGCCCGTATGACTGATTCCATCAAAATTATCGTCGATCTCTCGCTTCCATGGGATAAACATTTGAACGGAGGGGGTGTTGCACAGTATGTGGGGAGCACTGCCATACAATCTCAACCATATGTTAGACATCCCGGAATGTTCGTTTGTTCAGTTTTCAAAATTTTAATCGAGAACTGTGTCAACATATTTTTCAAGCATAGTCTGAAATGGAAGCCGCCAGGTTGAAACGAGTGCCGTAAAGGTCGAGAAAGCTGCTCTCTAATTGGCTGATGTCGACTTCTTGTTTGTCATTTCAGTGGTCAGTCAAAGTTCGCAAAAGGTCGTTCTGACGTGACCCGTAATGGGATGTCCTCAGATCTTTGTTTAGCGGTAGCAAGAACTTAGATCTGATTATTCTGAGATTGGGTTGACACCAGCTGATTTTGGGCCATAACACTAAAACAACATGAAGGAGAGATCATGAAAAAGTATTTGTGGTCATCATCCAAAACTGGCTCTCACAGGAGGTATTGCTTGGGCGAGATCAAACGATATCTACATTGTAGATATTGCTGCAATGAAATTGCATCATAATGCTTTGCAGACCATTGGGACATCATTGGTTACCATGACATCACAATCAAATGACATCACTAATGGCTCTGCTACTGAAGCTGTTAGCAGTACCTTTTACACTTAAGACACTGCATAATACTGTCTACAAACTGAAAAAGTTGGAAGAATGATGTTGGATGATAAATAAAATCTCACCCTCGTGTCTTTTGATATCAAATATATCAACACTCGTTGATATATTTGATATCAAAAGACACTCGGGTGAGAATCTCTATTTATTGTCTACAATTTTGAAAAATACTTACATCCAGTACAGGGAAAGAACATGATGCTTTCTTTACAGTACTCCGTACAAACATTGTCAGCCTCCATCCATCGGACCCCACACAGGACTAACAGCAACACTGTTACCTTAGGCATCTTCCTGTTTGTAACCAGTTAACATTGTTGTCGTGGTTACAAACAGACATACACTAAATGGCCTGAAACAAAAATTCATAAAATTACAAAATAACCTTGGCACGTCCAGGTTAGAAATGGTCCCTACAACATAAAATGGCATTGATTTAGCTAAGATTTCAAACTAAATGGCCTGAAACAACAAGAGTCATCAGAAAGATGACAGATCCCCCCGGCAGCTGTCTGTAAAGTAACCACAAGTAAATGTGCAATTCTGTATGTAATAAGTCAAGAGTTGAATGTTCTTGAATAGTAGAGGACGTAACAATACTAACATGTACGCGAGACAGGTCTCCCGTCTCGCGTACAAGTGACCACATGAGAGGGGGAGTGGACCATGGATTTCTGCATGTTGCAAAAAAATGTCTCTTCAAGTGTTACTTGTGAAAATAATAAAACAAAATTAGGTAGAGTCATTGATCATCATACTCATTATCGTATGACATGAAAAAAATGTCAAAAGAAAAATAATAAACGGTCAAATTGGGAGAAAAATATGTAAAAATTGAGCAAAATGTTCTGTTTTTGACAGCAATTTTCTCCTATGTACATATTTTTCAGAAACTAACATGTAGTATTTTCTAAAAGCTTATTCATCGTAGAGTTGCAAAATATAGACATGCAAAGTTTCGTTGACATGGAAACGTAAAAAGAATTTTAAAAATTAAAATTCCTAAATAGCAAAAGGCACCAGTTCAGTATGTACCTGGTAGACACGCAAAGTTTTGTAAGAAAGACTTTAACAGTTTTTGAGTTATGCTCCAGAAATGAACACCACCCTTATAGAACCTAAGTCCAACTTGCCATGGAACGTAAAAAAATAAAAATTTCTAAAATTCCTAAATAGCAAAAGGCACAACTTCAGTATGTGACTGATAGATTTGCAAAGTTTCGATCAAATACACTGAATTGTTTTTGAGTTCTGCCCCGGAAAAGGAAATGATTATGGACGGATGGACGGACAGACTGGCTGATCGCTATATCCCCCAGCATTATATGCCGGGGGGATAAATATTCATAAAATAACAAAATTACTTGGCACGTCCAGGTTAGAAATGGTCCCTGTGACATATGCTAGCATGGATTTATCTAAGATTTCAAACTAAGTGCCCTTGCAGGCACATTGGGTAAAAAACTGTTATTTTGTTACAGAAAGGTGATTGTTGTTTAAAGTTATATTCCAAAATTCAGAGTCATTCTAGCATCAAATTTTAACAGTTCATTCAATGCAATAATGTTAAACTAAGCATTTAAGTCTCTTCCACTTTATTGTTCTTGTTGTGATCAGTGGCACTCAAGTCACCTCGACAAATCCATCACAGTATAGAACTAGTAGTGGGACGAGACACCGATGCATCGGTGGATCGCGATTCTCTACTTCTCGATACAAGTACACGAAAGTAAAAGTGATTGATCCTTACCTTCAATGTATTTTTTAATATATGTTACACCAAACACTAATTACTTGTGAAAATGAGCAATGAAAACGTAAGTATTTTCGTCCATTGTGCCATTCTAACACTGCCAACTGTAAATCGTTAGTGTGCCAGGTATTTGTCCATCCTGTCTATGACAAAGATGGCCTATGCAATACAGATAAGAGCACATGCAAGTATCTTAAGACATATCGGATCGTGACCAAGGTATCGTGATACGTATCGGATCGCATAGTTGGTGTATCGTCCTAGCCCTAGTTACAACTATAAAACAGAAATTGGAAAAAAGTTAATTCCAATTTTGGGAATTTTTACCGACATTTGCTGCAGAATTGGGGCCAAATATTGTCCTCCATGCAGGTCTACATAAATCCCAAGCTGGTCTTTAAGGGGTTAACAGACTCAGGGTTCAGATTTTGAGCTTGTGTGGTAGGTGCATGGTACTATCATGGGATAACATTTATACTAAGTTATCTTATAATAATTAGATCTACATCAAGTGCTTTTATGAGTTATCATGGCGTAATATTTATACACCCTTCATATAATTATAGTTTAGCAAGTAATAATTATCATTAGGTAAAATGCATATATAAAATATCAGTAGTTTCAGTTAAAGCTTTTTAGATGGTTGCTAGCCTAAGGTAATGGGAGCGCGTCTTCTAGACATACTATTCAATAAGACAAGAGTTACGTCTACATAGTTTAATTGATTTGAAGCTTTTAGATAAATGCTAGCCTAAGGTATCAAGATCCCATCTCCCAGACAAAGGATATTTATTTAAGTACATCTGTCATCACCTACCGGGGTATATTAGAATAACATTACTTCAATTAAGACTCATTAAGGATTAGCCCCCATACAAGCTCGTCTATAGTGCATTAAGGATTAGCCCCCATACAAGCTCGTCTATAGTGCATTAAGGATTAGCCCCCACACAAGCTCATCTATAGTGACACCCTAATCTCTTTCAAAGCATCCAGTAAATTATCAACAAGATTAGTGCCAGTCCAACAGGATAAACAGGATTTAGTATTCCCCTCTGTCTAGCCATCCATTTAGCTTAGGACACAACCAATCGTGTATCATCCAATCACATTCCATTTTATTGTTTAAATTTTTGTTAAATACATACTGTAGGCAGGTTTTAAGCAGAGAAGGGGTTTGACCTCACCAAGCAGACCTCTCTCCCACAGCCCAGAGTGTGTACCGACTCTCTGTGGCACCCTCAGTTATTATCTAAGTATATTGTAAATTGTTAATTGTTCTTGTAAATAAAATTGTGATTAGTCTCCTGTGACTCTGGCTCTTTGCTGACTAATTCCCCAAGAAAACCAGCACGTCATTTGGAAGGTATTGTTCACCCAGAACAGTTCCATGATAATTTGGCGGAGAATCATCGTTTTCGGAACCACAGAGTCCAGGAACTAACTACGACCAGCTACAAGAACCCATTGGAGGACATGTCCAACTGCGATCATCTGATGGAATAACAAGCAAGCTGCATCAACCTCTGACCTCAACACTGGATTAAAGACAACCAACTCCTCCAAAGACACCAACAAAGGAAGAAAAAGTCTTCAAATATTGTAAGTAATACATTGTTGATTTCTTGTCATCCTTTAATTTAGTACGGTACATACTAATAGGTGTCATGGCAAATATGGAGTCTGGTATGGAAAGTAACTTTGAAAGTGAAATTCCAACAGTGTCTTTAGTTACGCCCCTTGCCAAAAGTGTAATTCAGGCAAAATTTGGCACAACAACAAATTGTTTAGTAGACACAGGGGCATCCATTTGTTGTATTTCGTCTGCTTTTCTGAGCACAGCTTTTGAAAACCTTACTCTTGGAAACTCACCCTTTCCACAGGTAAAAGGTGTTGGCGGCGAATTGCATAAAGTGTTAGGTTCAGTTGCGTTAGATTTTGTCATTGAGGATCAGGAATTTTCTCAAAGATTCTATGTACTGCCTACACTGCCGAAGGCAGTGATACTAGGTGAGAACTTCCTTGATGACAATGATGCAGTCTTAGATTATAGCTGTCATTCCTTGATACTCAACAACAGCACCTCAAATAGGCAATATATCAATTTCATAGCCAATTCAGTGCATGAGATTAGTGGATTAGCAAAAACAATAGATCAGATTTACATCCCCCCTCAGAGTGAAATTCATTTCAAGGTAAGACTATCAGAGACCAAAGAGGATTCCCTCATCCTCATTGAACCCATTGCTTCCCTCACTGCTCATTCTAATGTAGCAGGCGGTAGAACTCTTTCTAAATCAAAAAGCAAGACTGCTACATTTAGGCTTATGAATCCCTCCCAAGAAGAAAAGGTTCTTGACAAGGGTACAGTTGTAGGCAAATTTAGTTACATTGACAAAGACTCTGTTTTTGAAATCGGCTCTGACCAACCATTCATCAGTACCGTTAACACCGACAATGAGAAGAGAGAAAATGACACCAGGGATTATGTCAAAATTGCACAGGAGTTAGGATTTGATTTGACCAATACACAACTGACTCCAGACCAACGACACAGACTACTTAGATTTTTGGGACAAAATAGAAACATGTTTTCAACAAGTCTTGCAGATTTAGGTAAGACTGACTTGCACCATCATACCATTAACACTGGCAACCACCAACCCGTTAAGAGTAGACCATATCGTCAATCTCCTCATCTCCAAAAAGTCACTGAAGAACTTATAGATGATTTTCTGAAGTATGATTTGATCGAGGAGTCAACATCTATGTATTCAGCTCCCATTATCCTAGTCAAGAAACGTGATGGCTCATATAGATTTGTTTGTGACTACAGAAAGTTGAATTCTGTCACTTTACCAATGTCATGGCCTCTTCCTGTTTTTGATGATGTTGTTGATAACATCGCCAATGCACAAGCTAAGATCTTCTCAACTTTAGACCTTGCTAATGGTTTCTTCCAAGTGCCATTACATGAAGATTCAAAGCATAAAACTGCTTTCGTCACCCATCAAGGCCTTTATCAGTTCAAACGTTTACCCCAAGGTTTGACAAATTCTCCACTTTGTTTTCAACAGCTCATGAGCAAGGTGCTAAGAAAATTGCTTTTTAAGGTTGCGCTGATCTACATTGATGATTTGATAATTTACAGCAAAAACTTTGAAGAGCATCTCCAACATTTGGAGCAAGTATTTTACTATCTGAAACAGGCAAAATTAACACTAAAGCCATCCAAATGCAATTTTGCAACGGACAAAGTATCTTTTCTGGGTCATGTTTTATCATGTGGAGGTGTTCAAGTTGATGACAAAAAGATTGAAGCAATTAGAACCTTTCCAGTGCCCAAGTCACAAAAGCAGATTCGCTCCTTCTTAGGTCTCACGAACTTCTACAGGAAGTATGTGAAAAATTACGCTCACATAGCCCTTCCACTGAATGCCTTGCTAAAGAAGCATTCAGAGGCAGAAGTAGGAAAGAAACCAAAGTTCCAATGGTCACTTGAGTGTGATCAGGCATTCAACACACTCAAACATGCTATGAGTAATACACCTGTTCTGGCGTATCCAAATTGTGACAAAGAATTTCTTCTTGCAACTGAT